CAGCACTTCAACAGCAAAGTCTTCAATCCTTTGTATCTAAGAGTAGAGGGGCCTGCATCATTAAGATATGGTCCGGTAGGTGATGCAGCTTAACCTTTGAGCACTATATCATGCTCGGATCGCCCACATCATCCATATCATTCTCATGTCCTTATAGTTCTTGTGACCCATCATTCTCGTACTCATGTGCATATTGTCCTCATGTCCCCATATGCACATTGTCCTCTTGTCCTCTTGTCCTCTTGTCCGCTTTTCCTCTTGTCCTCTTGTCCGCTTGTCCTCACCCAATTGCAAAGCACTAGAAGCATACGACTCTCGAAATTATATTTATTCAGATATGAGACACCAGACAACAACTACATAGGCGCTACATCTGAATCATCTACATAGTACATCCTCTGCATAGGTCCCTACGCGTAAGTACATCATAAACGTCATGTGGCGTGAGGGGAAACACCAGGATTGGACATGGGCTGGAAGTTCACATGCCATTTGCGACACCACGCGCATTCACGAATATCACAATAATACTCAGTTTTGTTCATTGCCCACCCATGTTTTCATTCAGATCATTATGGAAACTATGGAAGGGAGACGCCAGGACCCCAGACCGTTATGCATGACACGTTTAAAAAGTCATCACAGCTTTTCCGAAGCAACCACATCCCCAGAAGCAGGTATCTAGAGACGAAAGAAGAGAAACAAGCAACCCAAAAACCGAGCGCTTATTTCTTGGAAGCCTTGACGGCGGCCTTGGTGACCTTGCCGGCCTTGTCGACCTTGGCGACGGACTTGATGACACCGACGGCAACGGTCTGACGCATGTCACGGACGGCGAAACGACCAAGAGGAGGGTAGTCAGTGAAAGCCTCAACGCACATGGGCTTGGAGGGAACCATCTTGACGATGGCGGCGTCACCAGACTTGATGAACTTGGGGGAGTTCTCAACAGACTTTCCGGTACGGCGGTCAATCTTCTCGAGGAGCTCAGAGAACTTGCAGGCAATGTGGGCAGTGTGGCAGTCGAGGACTGGTGCGTAACCGGCACCGACCTGACCGGGGTGGTTGAGGACGATGACCTGGGCGTTGAAGGACTCGGAAGCCTTGGGGGGGTCGTTCTTGGAGTCACCAGCAACGTTACCACGACGGATCTCCTTGACGGAGACGTTCTTGACGTTGAAGCCGACGTTGTCACCGGGGACACCCTCGGTCAGCTGCTCGTGGTGCATCTCGACGGACTTGACTTCAGTGGTGACACCAGCGGGGGCGAAGGTGACGACCATACCGGCCTTGATGATACCGGTCTCGACACGACCGACGGGAACCGTGCCAATACCACCGATCTTGTACACATCCTGGAGGGGAAGACGGAGGGGCTTGTCGGTAGGACGGCTGGGAGGGTCGATGGCATCGATGGCCTCGAGGAGGGTCTTACCGGTGGCCTTGGACTTGGTCTCCTTCTCCCAACCCTTGTACCATGGGCAGTTGGTGGAGGCCTCAATCATGTTGTCACCGTTGAAACCGGAGATGGGCACGAAGGGAACGTGCTTGGGGTTGTAGCCGACCTTCTTGATGAAGTTGGAGGTCTCCTTGATGATCTCCTGGTAACGGTCCTCAGACCACTTGGTGGTGTCCATCTTGTTGATGGCAACGATGAGCTGCTTGACACCAAGAGTGTAGGCGAGAAGGGCGTGCTCACGAGTCTGGCCATCCTTGGAGATACCAGCCTCGAACTCACCAGTACCGGCAGCGATAATGAGGATAGCGCAGTCAGCCTGGGAGGTACCAGTGATCATGTTTTTGATGAAATCACGGTGACCGGGGGCATCAACTAGATACACGGTTAGCGATTTTGACTCGAGTCGGGAGGATGCTCGATGCTCGAGGATGAAGAGGGGAGAGAAGATGAGGGGCAGAAAAGGTAGGCCCAGGCCAAGAGGCCCCAGCACCGTGCTGGAAGGAATGTGCGACACACAACGGCAGGAGCGTCGTGAAGCAGCAGCATGCGCAGCAGCATGAAAAAAAAACGCATGAAAAAAGCACAAAAAGAAAGGTGTCCACCTACTAACTGTTACGTAGTACTTGGGCGTTTCGAACTTCCACAGAGCAATGTCGATGGTGATACCACGTTCACGCTCGGCCTTGAGCTTGTCAAGAACCCATGCGTACTTGAAGGAACCCTTTCCGAGTTCGGCGGCTTCCTGTGAGGCTTGTCAGCATTGCGCAGTCAATTAGTAGGTAGAGACTATCAAGCGCAAAGACTAAATGTCCAAGGATGACCTTGATGTCGTTGAAGTTGGTGGTGGTGGTGGTGGTGGTGGTGGTGGGAAATTGCATGTGCGTCATAGTGTTGCGGTTCGCGAAGGCCGCATCCAGACTAGCGCTAGCGCGTAAAAGTTCGCACAACCCCACCACCCAAAAATGCCCCTCATTGCGATAAGCCCGAAAATGGGCGCGCGCTCAGAAGTTGTAATGGACAGTGGTGGGGGTTTGGTGAAAGAAAAGTCAAGGCATACCTTCTCGAACTTCTCAATGGTACGCTTGTCAATACCACCGCACTTGTAGATCAAGTCTGTATCCCATTGTGAGCGTGTTGACCCCGCAGTGCTTCGGAGAGGGGAGGCTTACGTCCGGTGGTGGTCGACTTTCCGGAGTCGACGTGGCCGATGACGACGACGTTGATGTGAGTCTTTTCCTTACTGCATGGCTTGTTAGTTGTCTGGCTGGGACAAGGGCGAGTGGCAAGCTCGAGGTGCGCCTGCGGGCACAATCGAGGGGCCCGAGAGGCTCAAGGTGGGGGTGAAGGAGGGGGGACAAGAACTTACCCCATGTTGGCGGTAGTGTGTTGTTTTGAATGAAGTGAGGAAAAGCTGTTGAATACTCAGATTTACAGCGCGCGGTGTAAGGTATGAGTTGGACGAAGAGAAGAATTGGGCGATGGAGGGGTCGAGTGTTGCTAATATAGCTGGAAGGCCTGGTGGGTCCGTGCTAGTTTTCGGCGCTAGCCCCCGGTTGGGCTACGAAAACTCCTTCACTGGCAACGAAATCTGTAGGCAGAGAGGCAAAACAGCCCCGCCTGATTGGCCCTGGCCGTCGTCGAGCCCTTTCAGTACTGCTGACCGCCCGCCATGGGCTCGCCACAGCCGCAGTTGCCTCACGCGAGCCTGTGAGTGCATCGTCACTGCCCATCCCTCAGCCCTTTGGGGGATGACTTCATTCTGGCTGCCATCTGGGACCCCCTGGGATTGCTTGGGCATAAGCACAGTCTCTGCAATTCCATCTTCATCCCGCTCTCGCCTGTACCGAAGAGAAAATTCACGCCAAAAACAGCCACCGACGCCAGCCTTGGGCGCGCACTGAGGCAGCTTGGGTTTCACTTTTGCCGCACTGCAAAACTTTTGGCGGGGTACTTGAGATTGCCATCATACTGTGTACCCAGCCCCACCACTAGCCGAGTCTGATGTGGCCTTGGCGGCAATTCTGCCCACCCTTATGCACACCACCGTGTTCATACCTGCTTTTCTTCCACTAGTCACTCTCTGCGTTGCTTTTGCTCTCTCTTTGCCATTGCATATCACCTACCAGAACAATGGGCCTCGTTGAGCCCCAAGCCTCGTCATAGACCCTCGCTATCTAGTACCCACGCATGTACCTAGGCATATCCAAACCTCTAGGCCCCGCCTTCATGGCCTTCGCCGCCCTCGACCGGCCATGGACCGCACTGGAACTTGACTCTGTTGCTGTCAATTGGCTCAATGCTTCATTCTTTTTCCAACCTTCTTGTCACACCGCTCATACACACGCGCTACAAGACTTTGACAAAGAATTAACTGCCGTCACATAGTGTTCCAAGTCGCTTAGCTCTCCTAGAGCTATCTACCGGACATGCTGCACGCTCAAAGTCTCTACGGTTACGAATCCACGTGCTCAACCTGCTCTTTACATGTGTACTCTATGTGGGTCACCACCAACGAGAGCCTGACCGTAAAGATTTTCGAGACTGCACTTGCAGATCCAAATCTCCAACCCGCCGTCAACAATGCGACCAGCTTCTTGTCGTTCACTACACCAGAACCTCGTGCCATTATCAATTCTTCGCATTTCATGCTCACAAGTACTCATCGTCTGAGAGATTTTCGATTCAATATACGACCCTCGTTGATTAGGTCTTGGGCTTTTCGAAATCGTCCTTTGGGCGATGATGACTCAGTTTCGATCTTGCTCCAATCCAGTATGCACTGACTACCCCTAATGGAGTCTGACCATCTATCAATACGAGAACCGCATGTTCGGATGAAGCTCATAGTCTCTGTCTGATGAGCAATGCCCTTGTGTCCAACTTTAGTGTTTCTCCTCACGCCACATGACGCCTATGATGTACACCTAGGGACTTGTATAGAGGGTTTGCTACATACACACCTAGGAAACGGACAGGTAGGACATAGATAGGTAGGCGGACAGGCGGACAGGCGGACAGCTAGGCGGACAGCTAGTAAATGGATATCTAGCAAATAGACAAGGTAAGATNGCCTAGTTGTCCGCCTACCTTTCCGTATCTTACCTTGTCTATTTGCTAGATATCCATTTACTAGCTGTCCGCCTAGCTGTCCGCCTGTCCGCCTGTCCGCCTACCTATCTATGTCCTACCTTGTCTGTATCCTACCTGTTCATTTACTAACTGTCCACTGTCTCGCATTTAAATAGATATAATGTTGAAACCTGTACTTGTGCTCCTGATATTTTGTAACTGTGAGTTGGGACAATGAGGACATGAGGACATGAGGACATGAGGACGATATGGATAGAGGAAGATGTGGGTATAAGGCACTGCTTATAGGTCAAGCTCCAGATCTTACTCCAATCATAAACACATCACTTGAACATCTGCAATGCTTCAAGAGCCAGTTCACAGAATGTTTCATAGCATCTATCTCGTAGCCAATCTAGGCAAATATGCCATCCAACAGTGCATGATATTCCTGTGCCATTGCACCAAAAGCTCAGTTATCCCAAACATCATTCAACAACCACAACTGGCCCGCCCACTGCTCCTTGACCGTCGGCCAAATGAGTTCAGGCGGCAGAACAAACCCGCCTCCTGCCGCGTCCTGGGGGCTCAGCTCCATAGTCCACGAGTGCGCCGCGCCATGCACAGCATGGTGGTGGTCTCTCGAGTTGCCCGTGGAGAAGTACAGAATCTGACAGCCAGGCCCAAACTCGTACGTGACGTTTCGCGCGCTGCCCGCCTGGATAGCTCTGGCAGTGCCGCCTGCTACCTCGAGCATACGGGGAAGCGTTTCGGGGAGCGGGTCGCACGAGAAACCCCAGGGAGTGAGGATAAGCTGGCTGTACGAGTGGAAGTCGATGAAGGACCGGATGCCAGCGCCCGTGCTGGAAAGCTTAGCAGAGAGTCCGTCCATGGCTTGATTCTCGGGTGTGTCGCCGGCGGCTTCGCCACGGTACGTCTCTCCGCACGGATTGGGCGTTGAACCACCGTCTGGAGGCGTGGCGTCCCATTCAAACTTCCAGTTGCGGTTGCCGTCGGTGCCGACACAGGCCGTGTTTAGTTGGGGGCGCGGCTGCCGGTTCTTGCGCCATAGTCGGTCGTTGGTTTGTGTGTACGAGAAGCCGTCTGGGTTGTGGAAGGGGACGAGGTAGAAGTCGTAGTGGTCCAGAAAACTAGTCACATTTGCATCGCCTTTTTGGTACCCGTCAATAAGCTGGTAGGCTAGGTACTCGATGACTGGGAGCGTTAGCTAGTATTCCTTTTTCTCATGCGTGTTCTGCTTACCCATAGTGGAGATCCATTCTCTTGCGTGAACTGTGGCATGCCAAAGAATAATGGGCTTTTCTTGCGTTGCAGCTTCAGTGCTCTTGTCACCAAACAAATGGAACGCCCAAATTGTCCGGTTCTCATAACTCTGGCCAATCGAAAACTTCTCAGAGTTACCAGGGAACGCCGCAACAAGGTCGTCCCAGTACTGAAGGTGGTCGGAATAAGCATGGTAAGTGTCGAACCACGACAGGTCCGGGAGCTGACCCGTTGCATGCAAGTCACGCTTGTATACGGCTTCCTTGTCGGTAGAGCGAATGTACTTGCCCAGATCCGAGTTCACCAGGCGAGCGTTCAAACCCAGTGCACGAAAAGAGTCAATCTCCTCGGGTGGAATAGCAACTGACAGGGTGTTGCGAATCGGGTGAGTGTGGTAGTTGGAGAAGCGCTTGTTGATATCATGAGCTTCTTCGGCAGAAGATGGCGTAATGGAGTAGATTTGGTAGCCATCGTAGCTTGGGTTGGCACTGCGAGACACAGAGCTAGCGTCGTGTGCCAAAGGAGACGCTGCTGCCAATTGAGCGGCCACCACCAACTTTGACAATCTCATTTTGAAGTTCGGAGAGTTAACAAACACAACACACAAGTCATTACAACATCATATACACTTCTTAAATATGACTTTGGACCCCTGTTCTAACCTTATCTGCGCGTCGGGAAGCTCGGTGCAATAATCGAATGTCGCCATGGAACTGTCATGCTAGCTCGCACAGCATTGCCGTGTTCATTTGCATCACTGGAATCATATTCAGTAGGTGGAGCGTCGTTCGCCCGCTAGCCAAGGCGATGCCCAGGCTTGTGTATACTTATGTACCCCCAGCTTCCTGATCTAGACGCATCGCCAAGGAGCAAGGCAGGTCGGGTATGCAACTCCCCCTCAGCCCCCGGGTATATTGCTGATCCCGTCGAAAGCCGTTGAAAAGCCGTACAAAATTCCTGTTCCATAGCTATTCTGTAGCCTCATGCTTGATTCCAAAGATCATTGGAAACCTGCGTGTTCTTTTTCTTGAGAGACAAATGATGTTTCAACATGATGCTCCTCAAGAGACGATATCGGTGCTTTGATGACGTCGCATTGAGCTACGTCTCTACGGTCTACGATGTTTTGCAAGTTTCACGCGTATGAACACAGCAAGCAGAATTGGAAGCTTATTCAAAAGGCATACCGGCGAACAGGACTCACAGTCATGTATAAGGTTTTGGAACACAAGTACCGTAAGCACGCTTGTTCTGCATGCTTGGCCAACTCGCCTATTTGAGCATGTATCCCAGCCCCTCTCTTACATTCCTGTAACAAACAGGCTTTCGATTGCCCCATAGTAAATTGTTCCTAGTATTCAAAACTTCACGACTGGCTTCCTACATACATTTACTTCTACACAATGAACCTGGTAGCAAGAAAGTACAAGGCGGGAACTACACATTCATGATCAACCCTACTGTTGGGCAATGGCACTCGATTTCAAAAGCAACGAAAGTGACAAACGAAATCACCAAACAAGAAGCCCAAATCGCATTTAACAACATAAAATGTAAAGAGATTCCAGCTACCTCATCACGCAATAATACCCGGGAGACAATGAATCGTAAAAAAACTCACCCATTTAGGCATAGTGCCTACGAGTCATAGAATCTCAGTATTTAGACAACGACATTCTACTCACAACACATATCCCAATTCAACCCAAAAAAACAGCACCAATCTTTAAACCCCTTTGGCCCTGGATTCACCACATCCTCCATCACCCCACCAACCACCACCATGCCCGCAATGCTCGACGACCCCACATCCCCTCCAATCAAGCGGACAACCCCAATCTCCTCCTTCACCCCCACCCCCGTCACCCTCCGCGACGGCACCACACGTGCCACCATCCTCCCCTTCACCTCACCCTCGCAGGTTCCTCCCTCCCTCACCTCCTTCCTCTGCACGCAACTCGCCCTCGAAATCGCCGCTGGGGACACCTACCCGATGCTCGACCCCTTGCCTCTTGAAACCTTCGGACCCTACTGGTTTAGTACCTTTGCCGCCGTCATGGTGCTCGGAGAGGGGTTGAGTGTGGAGAGTTTGGGGGAGATGGGGGAGATGGGGGAGGTGGAGTGGGAGGACAGGTGTCTGGGGAGTTTTTATGTGAAGCCGAATTATCCGGGAAGGAGTAGTCATGTTTGTAATGGAGGGTTTCTGGTGAATGCGAAAAAGAGGAATTTGGGGATCGGGAAGGCGCTGGGGAGGGCGTATTTGGAGTGGGCGCCTAGACTGGTGAGTTTTTTGTGGTTGATGACGATGGGTGTTTGGGGCTGATGGAGAAACAGGGATTCACGTATTCGGTGTTTAATTTGGTGTACGAGACGAATGTTGCGTCGTGTAAGATTTGGGATTCTTTGGGGTTTGAGAGGATTGGGCGGGTGAAGAAGTGTGCGGTTTTGAAGAGTTTTCCAGGAAGGAAGGTGGATGCGATTGTTTATGGGTATGATTTTGAAGGTGAAGAAGACAAGGCTTCGGTGTGAAATTGTGGAATATGTTGGATTTGGTATCTAAAACAGAAAAGAAAAAAATGAACTATTTACGACTTAAGAAGACCATTTCAACTCCTCCAGCTTCTCCACACCGTACGGCACACTAGGTGTACTCCAAGCCGCACCTTCCGCACCCTTGATTTGAGGTACCGGCTTCAAAATGCTCAACCTCTTGCTGTCAAACGCGCTGTCCTCGAAACTCTGATACCACCCACAGTTCTCCTCCAAGTACTGTCCAATAACCTTCTTCCAGCCCTTGTAAACCGTTACAAGCAAGTCAAGCACATGATGGCTTCCGCGCATATCACCCCACTGGAACCTCTCCTGGCACTCCTTGACCGTCTCAATCGGATACAGTCCAACATCCTCACGCAGCGCATACGCATTCACACCAACAAGCGAAGAATGGACCTGATAACTTCCTCCCTTGATCGCACGATCGCGCAGAGCCTGCATAGCGCCTACAGCTCCAAGAACTCCAGTCGACATATCTGAGATAGGAAGACTAGGCAGCACAGCCTCGTTCTTCGGAAGCTGTTGTGTAATTTCTAGTGCCTTACCAGTTACGTACGCGGAACCGGCCGCAGCATCAGCAATTTGCTGCCAGCCAGGACGCTCCTTGTAGTATCCGTCTGGCCCGTAGCAGTTCTCAGATACGTACACGATGCCCTTGCCTCGCTTACCGGCCATCTCGAGCATGTCGTCGAGGCCGAGACCGTACTTCGCCATCTTGCCCATGCGGAAACCTTGGATGAAGACATCGGCGTCTGCGAGGAGGGATTGCAGATATGTCCTGTCGGATTCTTTTCGTAGGTCTACGGTTGAAGTACGCTTTCCGGCGTTGAGCGTGAGTTGCATGATGTTGATGTCGGGGAGATGGGGTGGGTTGAGGCGGATGACGTCCGCACCGAATGCTGCGAGGATGGTGCCGACTTCTGGGCCAGCGATGACGCGGGTGAGTTCGACAATTTTTACGCCGGCAAGAGGCCTACGGTCTTGCGGGTTCAGAGGTGGAAAGCTGATGGGCGGGGTGGGGATAGCTTGGTTCTGTTGCTTGACATTGACGAGTGGGTGTGCGGCTAGTGACTTGCCCATCGTCGACTCGTTCCATTGCTGAGGGGTGAAGCAGATGGAGCCACAAAGGCCGTTCATCAAATTCTTGAGTTCGAGCTCCGCGGGACTGAACTTCTTGGTATGTTCTGCAATGAGCGCTGCGGCTTCTTCGTTGGACGAGACTGGAGTGCTGGGGTCGATGCCGATCATCTCGAGAGTCGGAGGAGCATTCATACTTCCATGAAGGGAGTACCATGTCTCGGGATCTTTGGTAGGGTATAGGGCAGTTGCACGGTACTTGAGTGGTGTATCTGTCCAGCCCTGCTCCCAGTCTGGAAGCAATTCACCAAGCTTCTTTTGTGCTGACATGCTCAAAACGTCTTCTCCGTTGAGAAACGCTGTTGCAATGCAACCAAACCACATAGCAGCGTGAGTGGTATTCACAGTGATCTCACGCTTGTCATCTTTGGCGCCTCTTATTGCGAGTATCTCATCTCCGAGGACACCGCACATAGCATGCAGGGCAGCGGCGACGGATGTTGCCTTGATGGGTCCTGGGATGACAGGATACTCCTCGCCAGTGAACTTGACTTTTGAGAGAATGCTTTCATCTTGGGTGAATCCAGGTGTTTGCGATACGAGCTGACGGAAGATGCGTGCGGTATCTTGCGGGACAGGGACGAAGGTCTTGTCTGTGTAGGTTCCAGGGCCATAAACATCTGGGATACGATCTGAAGTGGCCATGATAGGTGTATGAATGTGACTAACAGTAGAATAGATTAGGGTATAATGAATAGATGAAACTGTGTGATGAAGTGTTTGGATGGAGTTGTGGAAGATGATGAATGAATGCTGTTCTCCTTGCGCAATGCCTCTCTCTTATACTATCCATCTTGAAGTTCTCTGACCAGGTTCTTCGACTACAAGCTCCTCTAGAGTCTAAGGATACGTGCCTCCGATCCAGTAAGGAAGGAAATAGTTCGGACATATTTCATCATTCCTTCCCTCATCCTCGTACGAATGCCATCATCCGTGCAGGGCTATGAAGTGTGCCGCGCTATTCCATATTTGCTACTATGGGGTAAGTTGGCCGAGATCTCCCGCGTGCACATTTTTCCTTGCACAGGCACAGCCTCTGCGAGCTTGCATCATATCTTCGAACGTTGCTGAAAGATATTTTTTCCGATCTGATACAGGAACGGGTCCCCAGTAGATATCGGTCCGGTCCGGTCAATTGACGATCACATCGGCGGTCTGACATCATTCGGTGATCAATCGGTGTTATGGTCTCTCGTGCGAACACCTCGTGACAGGCACAGCGAGTAGTAACAAGATGCTTGCAAGCAGTAGGAATTTATATGTCCAAGATTGGAACATATTTGTCTTCTCTAAGCGTTTTCAAGTAATCCATTTTCATATCTCTTATTCATAATGCCACACTCAACAACTTCAGTACCAATCCAGCACATCACTGTCATCGGCAGTGGCTCAATTGGAGCATCATGGGCCGCTCTCTTCCTCGCGCAGGGCCTCAAAGTGACAGCTTTTGATATCAATCCAGCCGCTGAAGCAACGCTGCGAAAGCTCGTCAAAAACGCCCTCCCTGTGCTGAAATCTCTGGGGTTACTCAAGAACCCTAATACGTTTCCCGAGGATATCACTTTCACCACCGACCTCGCGACAGCCCTCAAACATGCCGACTTTGTACAAGAGAATGGTCCGGAGCGCCTCGATCTCAAGCAGCAACTATTCAACAACATGGCCGCCCTCGTGCGCCCCGATACCATCATCGCCACATCATCAAGTGGCTTAACTTGCACATCCATTCAGTCCGGTATGGGTGCGGATACACACCGAGAGCGCATTGTAATCGGGCATCCCTTCAACCCGCCGCATTTGATCCCACTCGTAGAAGTTGTTGGCGGCGAGCAGACTGCACCAGAGACGATTGAGCGCACAATGGCTTTCTACACAGCCATTGGCAAGAAAGCTGTGCATGTCAAGAAGGAAGTGGTTGGACACATTGCCAACCGACTACAGGCAGCACTGATGCGCGAGATGCTGCACATGGTGCAAAATGACATCTGCAGCATCTCCGACATTGACGATGCCATGGCGTACGGACCAGGACTACGTTGGGGTATTATGGGTCCTAATACGCTATTTCATCTTGCAGGCGGCGAGCAGGGTGCGCAGCACATGGCGAATCATCTTTTGGGACCGCTGACTACGTGGTGGGCACAAAAGGATCCCGTACTAGACGACGATCTGAGAAAGAAGTGGGTTGAGGGCACGATGGAAGCAGTTGCTGAAAGGAAATTTGATGATCTGGTCACACAGCGGGATTCAGAGTTGGTTAGGCTGCTGAATTTGAGGAAGGAGTGGGATGGTTATGCGGAGGAAAGGAAGAACTAGTAGAATGTAAAACTAGAAGATAGATTGATACCCTTTGGAATGTACTTTACAATTTCTATCATGACGACTAAATTCATGTCAATTTCTGTAACACATTGCCCTTCATGTACTCAGAACACTACAATGAACTCCGCATGTCAAAATTCTATTTTGAATTAACGTTTTCATCTACGATTTTTTGAGCATGATGACGTCATTCCACGTGGCGCTGCAGATCAGGGGCTAAGTAGCGGCGTTGGACCCTTCGGTCAAATTGTCTTTTTTTACACACACATACATCTTTTTGCCTCCCTGCGTGATCTACAAAACTCAAACTGGAATTGACGTCACAGGGTAATGTTAACATGTCGGCTCCATTGAGATGTGTTCCTAGAGAGATTGCAAGTTTACCGAAACGGCGCACGCACAAGTTCGGCCGAGCAAACTATGTAGTACGCCCGACTTTGCAAACGTGCACGAAAAGTGGGATGAAAATGAGATACGCGTATGGAGTCGGTGTATGGTGGATCCGAGTTTGGCCCGAATGGGTTTGTAGTGGTAACTGGGGCGGTGCTGGTATGTGTGTATATAGAAAGTTAAGGATGTGGGAAGTGGAAGACGAACACCTCACAAAAATTTGCCAACTTTGTATCTTCTTGAATAACTTCGAGTATCTTTCACTACACAAAGCAGATCATATCAAAGAAATATATTAGGACACTCTACAACACACATCATGCCCTCAATCACTGAGCTGCCCCAGCAAGCTCCATCGAAACAACATCTATACATCCTCGACGCATCACTATCCTCGCCCAACCACTCTGGTGGCCGCATTATCTCCTGTAACACAGATGGCAGCGACTTGAAGCCCGTTGTCTCACCGCTCCCGACACTGCCAGACGGGGTGACAATCGATCACGACAATGGCATTATGTGGTGGACAAACATGGGCACTGCGCTCTCCACCAACACAGGCAGTATAGAGACAGCCTCACTCGACGGCTCCAACCGCCGAATTGTCGTCCCTACTGGCACAAAGGGCGTCTGGACGCCCAAGCAAATCACTCTCGCAAAGGAAAGTCGCACACTTTACTGGTGCGACCGTGAAGGCATGAAAGTCATGCGCATGCCACTGGCAACAGAGGAGCCTGAAGTACTCTTATCAACAGGCAACCCACATAGCACAGCAGATGCAGCAGATACGCGGAACTGGTGTGTCGGCATTGCTGTTGACGAACGCAGAGGTTGGTTCTACTGGACACAAAAGGGCGCATCAAAGGGAAATGCCGGTGCCATCTACCGCGCGCGCATCGATAACACGGAGGTGCGCGAGAAGGTTTTCGAGAACCTACCTGAGCCGATTGACCTAGAGCTGGATGAGGAGAATGCTGTGTTGTACTGGACGGACCGTGGGGATCCGCCCAGGGGTAACACTTTGAACAGAGCATTTGTTGGAGGCGGCGAGGAGCCAATTGGGGAAATTGAGATTCTTGCGAGCCGATTTCATGAGACTATTGGGCTTGCATTAGACCTAGAGAAGGGCGTTGTGTATGTAAGTGACCTTGCGGGTGGCGTGTATGCGGTTGATCTTCAGACACGGAAGAAGAAGGTATTGTTCCCCGAGTTAGGGGATGTGACTGGCATCGCGCTTTTGTAGATATTTGTAAAACATAATTCAAGCATAATACCTTGTCATAAATTTACTCAGTTCATGGTCGTCTAGTTCATGTCTACAGCTCGGCCATTCACTTAGATTAAGAAGAGGGCTTTGAACCTATGGTGTGCCATGGTGTGACATACTGAGCACACAAAAAAACAATTTTGAAAAGTTTCTCCAACTATTGGGCTTGCTGTGCTAATATTTGCTCAAATGGCACTCGGTTCAGCCGTTGCAGTGAGGATCCCGGCAAAACAAGGCCAAAAAAAATTCGGTAGCACACTAGACGTCCCGTAAAAGTGAACCGCAAAAAAAACTGGTGATGTGACCTAACCAGGGGTCGAACCTGGAATCTCTTGATATCGAACTGAATCGTAGTCAAGCGCCTTGCCATTGGGCCATTAGGCCGGTTGTTCTGATGGAGGTTTTTGAAATACCATAATATATGAAAACTTTTTAAAAATTGCACCGCAGCGCTGAGCTGGAGGGGTGTGCACTCAACGTCATTTGCCCCACTATCCTCTTCCTCTCTAATTCGACCACACACGCATCGTTTCAGCACCCACTGCCTCGCATCATGGCTTCCTTACGATTAGGCAGAAGCCTGATCTTGTGCTTACTCTCCATCGGCACTGCCGTGACTTGAACACTGTTCCTTCATCATTTTGCCTTCCCGATTCCTACGTTCCTTGCATCCCATAGCAATCGCACAAACTTCTATATCACGATCGCCAGAACCATGTCACGAAGAAACAGTGCCATGTATACCCCTCACCCGCTGACCGCGCAATTTGATAGCGCAAAGTTCATGGTTGGTGGGGGGGTAGCTATCTTCCATCTCGCAACCGGGCGTGTGGTACTATGCAGCTACGAGCAACACGGGCGTAAAGCATATTTCTTGCCCAAAGGGCGACGAGATGCAGGCGAAGAAAGTGGCATAGGCGCAGAGCGAGAGGGGTATGAAGAGGTGGGTCCCAAATCAAGTCTGCAAGCATTTTTCCGAGAAAAAAAGTTTATAGATGATTATCGCAAGAGCTAATGCAGTATGCAATATACAAAGTCAGGGTATCGAAACCGGCTTCTCCCTCTACCAACACGGCATTGCCAACCGCAAGCTCATCCACGTGTCCACGCTGCGACGCATACCGCCGAGCCCGTTCTGTTGCAGTTGATGCCGTTGCGAGAGTATCAGTATGTGGTTTATTGGTACATTTCGGAGACGCTACCGCCGTCGCTCGAGGGGGACCTCGAATCAGAACCAGGATCGCCGTATAAATCCCCACCGCGTTATCCGCAGAATCTCTCGTTGAGGGAGAGAATTGCGATGGAGCCACAGGGGTACGAGCCTAGACATCACGAGGGCACGGGTGTGGATAATATGGAGAGGCAGTTCAAGAGCGAGTTGTGCAGTGTAGAAGATGCGATAAGGAAGTTGGGCCAGGGCCACATGATGGGTGAGGCTATGGCCGATGTAGTTAGGAAAGGGTGGGAAGGAATCCAAAAGAGGTTTGAGATGGAAGATGCAGCCACGCAGCAAAGTCCTGAAGCAGTTTGAACCTTCCGAGTTTGTTAATTTGGAGATTGCGCATAGCAGGGTATTCAGCACCATATCGCAACTTTCACATGCCACCCAACCTCTGGTATTTTTTTTTCTGTACCGAGAGGCCTACGTCATTCGGATGTTGCTGTTGTAAACAACAACTCCGACGGTCTAGACCCCAGACTATCTGCCGGTAGCAGCATACCGTGCATACTGTAGAGTACCTACGCCTGTCTATACCTTAGCGAGTCCTTCTATACAGACCAGGTTCCAACAGGAACATCAATAGTCCCAACATTATCCTGGTAAGACCCTGTGCCACATTAACCGAACCACTAGTGTACACGTAGAATCCTAATTGGAACAGCGAATTTTACCTGCGCAAGCGACTAAGAAGGAAGGCGACCACGTGAAAGAGCACAGTTGGGGTAAATTAGCCGGTGAGCGAGCCCGGTTATTGAATTACTACGCATATCGCAAGGTCGCGAGTGGCATGGTTGCAACTTGGAATACAATGCAGATAACACATGCCTGATTGAACGTTGAGTTCTTTCCGGCGAACTGCAATACTGGTACAATGTAATGCCATGGAAATTTAACCACGGACTTCCTACCTGATGTTGTTCATGCTGGCTCGATGTGAAGAGCAAGGTTCATACGGACGTACGTGGTGGTTGCATCGTCTATACTGCATATCGCCATCCCTCTCGTCAAAATCGAGATTCAGAGAACATACAACTCAACTGAACCAGGTCAATAGAATGCGTGATATCTGCACGTGCACCTCTAATATATCGATCTACACAAGAAACAGTAAGCAAGACGGAAGCGGGAAGGGGGATGTTCGGATCGAACTCTCCTCCTTCCTTGCCACAACGCACTTTGGACTGCCAAAAATATTGCGGTACACTACGCATGATGCAACCAGACATCTCGTGCCCTTTCTCCAAGCCCCTCCAAGAACACATTTGTTTCAAGTCCACGGACGCACAGGGTCCGCCAAGTAAGTAGAACGTATGCGTATGTTTGACATTACCCAAGATACCGGAAAGCAAGGGTTGTCGTGACGACTCAGTCAGCCGTATGTAAACTCTATATCTGTTTTTCCCGCTCCCGCCTACACAAACACTGGGTAGCTGCGGGTGCAACTTTGGGTAAAAGCCGCAGTCGCTGTGTGTCGGGAGTAAAACACCTTGCTGTGGAGTTTGACATGAGAAGGTGAAAGAAAAAACATAGCTGTGGTACTGGGTATTCCGCCAATCTCCCCAAAGAATTACTTTTCTTGGAACCGCGGACATGACAATCATTTCACCTACGTACGCGCCACGCCATCACCTTACGCACTTCATCTCCACATATCCCCCTCTCCATCCCTACCCACCCAAACAACACACATACTCTATCACTCATACCAAACCATACGAAAAAAAAATAACCCACCCACCCACAAGTACCATTACTTACCGCTCTCCAAACATATACAAGCACCCCATCTCCAATTATACCTCCCACCCCAACCCCACCTGAAACAACCGGCCCGTTTACCTATCTCATCAAACAAAACCCTAATTGCAAGTGTGCGCGCCAAAGAAAAGCAAACGATAATAATAATGATAGCCAAGCGAGCAAAGCTAGAGAATGACACAGCGCTTACAAACATGCCTCACCGTCCCAACCCCTGTGCCTGAGACGAAACCAGGGCGGCTACGCCTGTTCCCCAAAACACAATTAAAAAAAAAACCGGCCGGACGAAGCAGGCGGGCGGACCAAGGGCAATGTAAAAGGCAACCCTTCGAGTTCGGCCCAAATTCTTTTTTTTTTTTAAAAAAAAAGCCTCGTATGTAACGTCGGGGACGACAAAAAAAAGAGCGGTATACAAACTGTTTCAAAGCGTGCTTACGTAGTATTCTGTGTCTGGTTCCGACAAAGGACAAAAAAATCTCCGTAACGTGGTGATACGCAAGTGTACCAGATGAGATATTTTGCTTTCTCTCTCTCTCTCTCTCTCTCACGGGATTGGGCACGTTAGGCACGCTGCAGTAGCACATGCACGCACACACGCATGCAGGCTTGTTTGCGAGCTTGACATATACCGGCGCGTGGGGGGGTCTCCACCTGCGTGCAGGAAGAAAGGTGCAGGCCTGCAGGCGAGGAGGGATGGGCTGAGTTAAGCTGCCCAAGCTAGAAGATGTTTAGCGTGGCGATCGCTGCAGGGGTTGGGGGTTGGGGGCAAGAAGGGAAGAAAGGAGGTGTGGTTGGTAGGAGATAGGACATGGATAGTTGGTCTTGGTTATTTACTCTAGAGATTTTGGTTCTGAAATCGGGGTTATATTGATAAGTACAGGTAAAAAACAAACTCGGCTGGAAAAACGCCGAATTGGGGTATCGTACAGATGTGGCGACGGGGATAACATTGTATAGCTAACCATTAGCCCGTTTCCTTAGGCACCCTACCAAAAGGCCCGACCACATGTTGCTTGTTTTGTGTTTGTCTTCATGCCTGATCCACAGGATATAAAAGTCTTAAAAGGAGTGTGTGTGTGTGTGGGGGGGGGGGGGGGGGGGGGGGAATATGGAGCCATATCAGATGGGGGTATGATGTGGTTTGAAAAGAATGGAAACTAATGTGTACAGCGAAGAAGATGTGCATGTTAATCCTCTTTGTGTTGCGCATCCGGACGTTGATTTCCCCTTCCAAAAAACATGAGACAAGATTTCAACGATCAAGTTATAGACGCTTGCAAAGGAAAAAAACATGGCATTGCCGAGTGGGGCAAGATCAGACATGACGTGACAGGTGTTTACCACGAGAAAGACTCCTCGCGGAAGTCGACGTTCCACTGGGTCTCGCGGTTGCGGACCGCGCGGCGGAGCTCATCAGCGAGGCCACCAGTGCCGCATGTGGTGACACAGGCAGCACCGATACCCTCTTGCATCTCCTGGTCGATCAAGGCCTGAACGTTGGGTCGACCAGGGAACATCTGAACACTTGAAGAGGGGGAGTGGATCTCCTTGGTGCTGCGGGGGCGGGTGACGAAGAGCAGAATCTTGAGGATCTCGCGACGACGCGGCATGGAAAGGATCTGTGTCATCCATGTACGGATCCACTCCAAGTGCTCAGGCGACTGGATGATCCATACAAGTGTAAGGCGACGAGTAGCAACGGTGCCGTTTGCGTAGCCAGCAACGATATCACGCACGTGGGGGACCTGGTGCGTGATACCGATACCTCCAGCCCAAAGCATCACAGTACCATAGGAGCTAAGGTCCTCACCACCTATCGGGGTAACCGTTAGCGTAGTTCGGGGGTATTGGTTTAATATGCGCAAATTGTATAGACTTTACAGAACCAGGATTCTCGGACTTTACAGAAACAGGATTTTCGGACTTACCATAGGGACCCTCGACATATGCCGAGCAGGAGAATCGGCCGGCAGCGGAGAGATCGGCCTTTTTGAACAGCTTGTCGGTAAAGCCTGTTCGGCGGCGGATGATGAAGGACATGCTGGTCTTGTGGTGCTCGAGAATATCTTGGCGGTTCATGGGGAGACCCTTCTCATCGCCAGAGGAAGAGGCAATGCTGAGGTCCTCCTCCTCCTCGCTCCACGCGATGGAGAAGGGATGGTTGGTCCAGAGACCGACAGAGGGGATGTACAGGTAAGCGTGCTGGCCAGGGCGGAAGGTCCAGGGGCGTGCCATGCGGACAGTGACACGGAGGGCATCTCCTGGAAGGACTTCAACGTCGCAGCCAGTGCCGCCGTTTCCAACGTTGCGCATGACAAGACGAACAAATCGCCAGATACGCTCCATAGCCCAGAGAGCGGTAACTCCGTAGAGCATACGCTGCTGCTCGCGATCCTTGAGGTGGACCCATAGGGCGCCGAGCGCGAGCGCAGCACCGGCAATGTGGCCGTGCAGGAAAACCTCATAGAAGGAGTGACGGATGGGCGAGGGCGACTGGATCAGAAGGAACACAAATGCGACAACTCCCTGTACATGTTAGGGGGCGATGGCAAAGAATCTCACGTGAGACTTACAATGAAACCACTCATGATGAATTCACTCTTGGTGATTGAGGCTTGAACAGCGCCCCAGCCCTCTGCATCTTGGTTAGTACGGGGTTGTTTACGATTGACATGATTTTTGACTCACTGGAGTGGACCTTGTTGGCCATCCAGCAGACGGCGTGGGCAATTGCCTCGAGGACAACGATTCGCCCAAACCAGCGGTGGACCAAGTTCATGGTATCGAAAGAGATGCCAGTAAGCTTGATGATGGGGTTGTTGCGACCAGCAAGCAGGACCAAGGGGATCATGTTGATGACGGCCATGACACCAGAGCGGCTGAGGAGCTCGCCAGCACCCGAGGCAAAGCTGCTGTAGTCAATTCTCCACACGCAGAAACCGATGTTGACGGCAAAGTAGCCAAGGAGGAAAAAGGTCTGCAGGCGGCTGGGCAGAGTGCCAACGCCAATGGCAGACGAGAGCTTGAACTCGCGGTGGTGACGGGTGCGGAATAGGGGAGCATCGAGACAGTGCTTCTTAAAGGCGGCATAGGTGCGGTTGGGGATGGCGAAGTAGCGCTGGGTGTCGTTGTTCAGGCATGTGACGGTTCGGATGTAGCGCACAAAGTAGAGAATGACTTGGTAGAGGAAGAAGACGACAACAATGATCCACCAGATGTATCCAAGGTAGTGCTGTACGTCAACGTTCTCGCGGCCAGCAGTGGGGTCTTCTTGTCCATTGCCAGCGCGCTTGGCGAGGCCCGCGGCAGCGTCCATCAGAGACATGGCTGGAGGGAGTGAGCAATTGTCGAGTGTAGGGCCAGGATGAGGGTAGGATCAGTTGGGTGTGGCAGGCGGGGATGACGTTATGTAGGGAGAGTGTACTCTGTCTTGGCCAGCAAACGACAGATTGGTGGAGTGGAGCAAGGTCTAGAAGAAGCAGTTGATATGGCGTGCGTGGTGACCCAGCCTAAACAGATAGTACTTGGGCTTAGGGCGACTGGGTAGGGGGTGTAGGCTTGACGCGAGTTGGCGCAGCGTGGACAATATGGCCGAATCGGTCAGGTTAATATGCAGCAGGCCAGGTGGGCGATTGAGCGGACTCCAGATGCCAGGGCAGGGTAAGCTGCACTGATAGTCGACTGGGTATGGGTAAATCGCCAGCCAGGGGATCAGAGAGAAAGAGCCGGCGGGGAAGCGAGACCAAGCACCTGGGTTGGACGAAGAAAAGCAGAGCCAGGCGAACCACGGCGATAAAAGAGCGACTATGGGGGGTTGAGCGAGCGAGGGAGGAGAGGGAGAGAAGAGAAGGCGTTGTGGGCGCGAGGGCCGGGTGGTTAAAGCAAAGGGAGTGTGGTGGGTTTGATTATTGGTGGTCGCAGCCTCAGGATTGGAGGACAGGGCTGGGGCGGAGGGCAGGGATGGTGCCTGAAGGCGGCCGGCTAGGGCCCCGGATGCTGAAACGGAACGGCGTCGAGGACGAGCGAACCGAACGCCACGCCACAGACGAGTGAAGGGACGAGTGAAGGGACGAGCTGCGAGTTGCGAGCTGCACGCTGACGACCGACCCTGTTTCATCGCTTCCGAACCTTTCCATCCACCCATCCATCCATCCATCGTGATACACACGCCAACCGCCTGCCACGCCCACCGGGCCTCCATCTGCGCAATCGCCCCAGCCACCCGTACGCACACTCGCGGCCGACGCACAGCGCCTGGGCGAACAATGCCCCGGCCTGTCACTCTCCTATGCCAGCCCTGGCCCACCCAGGACCACCCTTCGTCATCCATCTATCCACGACTCCTCCGTCTCCGCCCCCGTCTCCTTGCGGTATAACGGCCGTCGTACAGCGGCCTAAGTACTTGGCCACGCCCTCCATCTACCCGTTCCCGCCTGCGCGACCAAGCCAGCGACCGCATCCTCCAAAATGTGCCGCCCGCAGCTGGGGCGCCACAATCCGCCCTGCCCCTTCCTTCCCCCCCATAAGTACTGTGCAGTAAATCTAATTTGCCTTGAGCCTCACCACCAATCTGCACACTTGCACTCGCCCCTTTGTCACCACTAGCACCCAGCCGCTCAGTCGGCCGCCCGCGTGTTTCCCTTGGATGCTTGCTGGGAACATGCATGAATGTCACTGCACCGCCCCGCCCATACCTGCCCCGAAACACGTCGATTCCAGTCGTGGCCGCTCCTCGCGTCTTGCATAAATCGCCCTGTCGATTCTTGCGTCATGCGGAGAGACCCTCTGATTGCTGTCAAAATCACAACTGCCGCTTGTTTGGTGTGTCGATTCAGATAAACGCCTTCGTGGATATGCCCTGCCCGCCTCTCCCCGCACAAACCGCATTCTATTTGCGCGACTCGGATACGCTTGCCCTATGCCATGGCCGCGCGCCCTCCGCCTTGTGCAAAGCGAGTCGAGACTGCCAACGGAAATTTACGTGCTGCGTCCGAAGTGACTCCACTACCATCAGGTGTTGTCACGCCCCAAGTACTTACCATCAACCCCATTCACATGTGCGCACGGTCAAAAACACCCAAGTATACTGTGTAATCTACCGAAGATCCAGTCACGAAGCGACTTCATCTGCAAGGTGCCAGGCTTGGTCTACCGTGACCTGCGTACCCATGTACACAGACATACTATACACATACTTAGAGTACGTACATAGGCACATACTTATATCGACTTAGTGGCGGAGTTATAGGGGCTCTATTCGTATCTGCTAGCAGAGTGAAGAAGGAAACGCGGGCCTAGCACTGCCAACTGCGATAAGACCATGGTTCGGAAAACCTCCTTCAAATCATGTCCTCAGTTCTGTGCAGTCGATGGCGATGGAGCATCCTGACAGACGGTGTGGGAAGCGGGACATGCCCAAGGCACTTCCTGTCAGTCCTAGCCGCTCACGTAGTACCGCCCTCTAGGTCAAGACTGACTCACGACGTCCTCGAAAATGACAATGTTAGCATAACACCAGGAATCCCGTGAGACTGCTAGATTGCCACTGTTTCACGCAAATGATGGCGTGCCCGCCTTGGCCCCACGCTCTCGAAACTTCCTCAACCGTTCCTCTTAGAACAAACAGCTCGTTTCAGAGACGGGCGCCTCTCGCTTTTCTTTTCGGTTTCGAGATGCAGCCACTCTCCACCGATCGGTCCACGGCATGGCTTGCAACATGCGACACAAACATGCGAGTGCTGACGTAGGCCCGGTGGTTGCAAAGTCCTTTAGTATCGACCTAGAATCGCGTGACTCGGAGCGGGCGCCTCCCTTCCGCCGCCCTTTCGTGTTGACGTTACCGTCCTCGATTTCCCTTATCCACAGCTCGTGTCAACAAACACGTGCACAGAACCGGTGTCGGGTGTCAATTCATGCCGCTCCCTATTCGGTGTCTAGACCGCGGCTTGCATTTGATCCACAATGCGCAATCTCCTTTTTTACCTTCCTTGTCGCTCTATATCTCGCTTGACAGCCAGTAGCAACGACTGACGCCATGTGCACAAGACATTCCTTGGCACCTGACTGCAGCGTGTGTAGATCGATGACTGCCTGCAAATCTCAGGTAGGCGCCGTATCGTTTAGCCAGAAGTAAATCAAGGCTGGAACATTTTCAACGAGGCTCGTTCGACTTCGGCGTTTCTCGGGTTTTCAAATCCGGATATTGATCAATGTAACAAGCATGCACCTCAATTGGTTCATCGTGTTCCGGAATGCTGTTTATAGTATTCGTACAAAGCAAGGATGTATCTGACGAAGCGCCAAATAGACGCGTATACAAACTCGCCGTGGCAATAAATACGTAAGCATGAGTAACCACTTCGTTACTTAGTCCCAGCTATACGGTAAGCTGCTATAAACCCTCTCGGCCCGACATACTTAATTCTGCACATGCAAGACACGTCAACCTGGGGTTTTGACAGACATTCCAACGTCGGTCGGACTTGCGCGTCTATTTTCATCCGGGGGCTGTGTGTATCCAAAGACCGAGCTTTTGGATAGTAGTCACGTGTGCGAGCCGGCCGTGCAATGGACATGCTGCGTTGCAACATGTGCGCGAAGAGACTTTGATGTCATGCTAATCCCGCTCCCGAGTAAACGTTGAGCCACCGCGTGGCTGTAGCCTGTAAAGAAGTATGCATACTTCTACTTTCGACGACTTGCTTTGCAAGCAATAATTTAGCTGTATTGCGCAATGGTGCAGTCAAGAACACGGTAAAGTCTCGTATTGCGAAAAAAAAAAGGAATCAAGAGGAATCAAGATGAAACAAGCTTCTGCCATGGCATATCTGACAATGCGATACTTTCGAGCCAATTCTCGCGAGGGTAGTGTAAGTACATGGTGCAGTGTAGTGTATGGGAAAGCGAATGGGAATCTCGAGTAGCTAGCGCGGAGACAACACGCGCTTAACGCCGACCACCGATGAGGTACTAGGTCAAACAAACAAACAATCATCACGACAACGACGACGCGCCCGTAACATAGCACAACATATTCTACCGCCCATAGCTCCTCCGTACCCATCTATCCCGTATGAATTAACCGATATACCTATTGCCATGTCGACAGACGACGCATTGCCATGGACAACTTCGCGATGCAATCGTCTACTGCGGCCGCTTTCCTCGAAACTCGCCAAACTGCGCAAAGAGCTCGAACGACCTCGTCCTACGAATACAGAGTCGCGCAATATTTCCTCGGCATTTGCCACCAAGGGATCTCCCCAGAAGACGACAAACTTTACACGCCCGGCCCACAAACCACGGGGTTTTGAGAAGGCGAGAGATCCAGATTGGAGGCCAGGCGTGAAATCGGGAGCAGCTAAGAAGACTACATATGGCGCAAGGGGAAGAGGGAGACCAGCACCGCGGAGAGGTAGCCCAGATACTACCAGAAATGTCTCCCGACCGGGCGAGATTGCCTTTACGCCTTTGATTTCGAGAATGGGCGGGCAACTGCACAGCAGTCCACAGATGCCCATATCGCCGTTGCGAAAAATTCCAAAGAACCGAGGCCCTCTTTTGGTCAATCTAGTTCTACCTGCAGCAGATGTACCTAGGGATGTGCACAAGCTCGTTCAAGGCACATTGGAGGCATACGCGAACCTACTCCAAGCCACCTCAACAGGCAATGAGCCGACAAGGAAAGGCACAAGATCACTTATGGGCGCTTGTTTAAGAAAACTACCGGCCTACATCGAACTCGAGGAACATTTTGCAAAGCTAGACAGGCTCGAGGAAGAAGCAGAAGAAGAAGGTCGGGATATTGCCAACGAAATATACGAGCAGCTCGAGACACACTTTGAGCAAGCCCCTGGACTTGGCTGGCGTCACTTTCGACAGGTCGTCCGAACACATGCCACAAAGCTGATATACGATGCCATTGCCGACGAAATATTGAGCCTCAAGGACGCATTGATGCTCGTTACGCACTGCTTAAACGCCTATGCATGGGAAGAGGCAGAACAACTGTTACTGGCTTATGCGCCGCTTCTAGAGTCCATCACTATACCCATCAACACACGAGCCAATTTATTTGACGTGCAGCGGTCGCCTTTTTTACATGCGGTCAAGGCTTTTGTCCACCATACCGGACGCCATCGTCTGCTTTACGATATCTTGGAGCACATGGTTGCTCTTGAGCTGCTACCTCTCGAATGGCTGGCAACCGATAGCATGCGCCCTGTCTGGGATCGACTGGTCCGAAGCATTTCTGAGAATGATGCCCGCACTCTGCCAAGTGTTTGCCGATTCTTCGAGACAGTTGCCTTCGCAAGCATGGGCCTGCCCGACTATCGGCTGCTGGAAGATGAAGTCACTGGGTCTGTTTATAGGCGCTTTGTACCATCGTCACGATTGGAACTCCGGCAGGCGCTTGATACTACGTTTTCTAGTCTTCTCACCGTGCTGTGCAGTATAACTTTAGTCAACAACTCCCGTAATGACGACGCTGGCCAGATGACTGCAAAGCGGGTTACTCGAGTTTTGGATGCGGTCGTCGTTGCTATTGCTACTCGGCAGGATATCAAGGATGAGCTCGACCTTCTTGGTGCGGATACCAATGATGTCCAGGTCATGGCTCAGCGTGGCATTTGGATAACATTTGCATCGTGTCTCCTGCATCTTGAAAGTTGCTTGAGCGATCCAACCGTGGTATCCCTCGACACTGCTGGCTCTGTTGGCGTTATCAATTGGATAGCCTCACAATATTCCTCAAAAGACATAAATTTCGCATCGATATTTGGCCCTCTACCATCCTTGGTTTCGTCGACTGCACGTGGGACTGGTCGGATCTGGCAGGACGATGGATTCGACCAACTACAACGCTTTGTTACGGCACTGATTTCGGTATCTGGTTGCCGATTGCCGCACAAGCTGTGGACACTGAAGAGAATCGCATTAGAATCCGCACTCGAATTTGCTCACGGCACAGGCGACGCCGAGCACATGGCATTTGCACGAAAGGTCGAGAAGAAGATGCAAACACAGGGTCGCCTGATTATTATGCAATCACCAGCAAAGAATGATTCTCCGGCAACCGGCGGTGGCTTTAGGTGGGAAGAAGGCATTGGTGAATGGGTCACCTGTACACCGTTTGTGAAACAGAACCCCAAGCGGCAGATTGACAAACCCGTCCGAGCCCTCGAATTACTTCCGACGCCGGTACAATCAGAAGAAGAGAGGGAGGATGTCTCTGAAGTCGAAGATGAACTTGCTAGTAGTGTCCCCACCACTCCAGCGTGGGAAGCCACTACATTCGACTGCGCAGACGAAGATGATACAGGGCCGCAATCGTCACCAATCAAGAAAAGACAGCGTACCTCCACATCATCATTGGGAAAACGTGCTCGAGCGCCATCACCAAAGGTCGTCATACCGGTGAAGCGAACGCACATGACACCTCCAGACACACCACCTGTGAGATTCTACGCCGATCTACCTGAAGAAAAGGGAACCAGCTCACGACGTTCCTGTCGCTTTCGACATCAAACCAACGCATTACCCTCGCGATCTCGACCTAAACGCTCCAGAGCATCCCTCGAAAGTGGTCTACGCGATGTAAAAATGCCAACCTATGCCGAACAAGCCCTCGACCTCGACCTCTCAAGTAGCGCAAGCGATACAGACGCATCGAGCCCATCACAACAAGATTCGGAGACCGAGGCAGAGCAGCCCAATACGCGATGTTCATCGCAAACCCGGCGTCGCTCAACGCGCAACACATGTGCACCTTCCTCTCCCGGCCGCGACGAACCCGGTAAGACACTGGCTCGATCCCGCTCATCACTTCGAACAAAGAATCGAGAAAAATCACTACCCCCGGCAAACAGATCCAACTCCCAGCGTACAGCTAGCAGGACCCGGCCCGTACTGCAAAAGAGCTACCACGACGACAGCGAAGACGAATTGAGCTTTTACTAGGTGTGCAAGTCTCACTCCGCAGCGTCCTCGCCCATAATATTGCGATCAGATAGTATTTGCTGGTGATAAACGTCTGTTTGAACTTTGTCACACTTCTTTTCTTGCTTGTTCCACTCTAACGAGTTGCATTCTTTGCGTTGTTGTTGTTTTTTTGCCATGTTGTAGATACCCCCTTCTTCTCTCTTTCCCTCGTCACCATAGCGAATAGTTATTGTAGCAATTTGAAATGATAAAATGGCATTCTAAACAATATTCTATGTGTTTGGAATTTTAATCGATATCAGGTAGATGTGCACAACACCATGTATATTTCACCCTGGTTATATTGACATACAGTATACATATGCGAAAATACACATACATACACACACATCTTTACGTGCACGCATTGTAGCAAGCGCTCGGCCACTATAGTAATAGTTGATTTCTCAAAGGCAAAAAAACAAACAAGAGAGATACAAAGGTAGAGGTGAGAGCCATAGAAAAGGGGAAGAAAAACCCTTATATCCCCCCCCCCCTCCTTTCCTTCTTTCAAAACGCCAGAAAGATGCAAAACAACGTTGTAGAATAAGCGTTAGGAGTTTTTTTCTTTAGAACGCTTTTTTTTGTCAAGGATGATTTGGATATGATGATGGTGATAATGAGAACAAATGACCCCGATTGACCTCCCCCTACGGCCGACCGATCCAGGGGCAAGGAAAATATGTTGGTGAGTGGGAGGGAGGAACCTATGATATGCGAAAACCCGACAATGGAACCGTTGAACCCCCTCCCCCCCTTCCTCCTCTCCCCTTTAATTCTAACTCCTCCCACTCGCATTTCTTTCCTTCTTCCGTGCTAAAAAAAACTGCCATTACTCCTCCATCCTATCAACATCCTTATTCGAGTCCTTTGTGGGTTCTTTAAGGAACTGCGCGCGAAAATCCGCATTACTTTTTGGCTCCCCGTTGCTTGGGAGCGCACTCTTAGGTATCATGGGGCGGCCGAGGCCTGGTTTTCCTCGTCCACGGCCGGCGCCACGGGGAGCGGTGGGGCGAGAGACGCGGTTGGGTTGGACAAAGCTGTTGCTTGCTTTCCATTCTCCCTTTTGTTTGTTGAGGTCTTGGACTGTGCCGATGCGGAGTTTTCTTCCTTCAAAGTCTTTGCCTTCTAGCGCGAATTGCGCTTTGCCTGCTCCCTCTACAGTTGTGAACTCGATGATAGCACCGCCGTGATGGGGCTCTAATTTGATCTTTTTGAAGCCGTACTGTTCGACGAGTGGCTTGATGCGCACGTCGGGGACAGTATCTGGCAGGTTGAGGATGGCGATAGACCGGTCCATGAAAGACGCTGGCTTAAGAGCAGCATCTGTAGGTCCATTGCCCTGCCCAGAAGCTGTTTCATGGACAGATGGAGCTTCCGGGTTCTCGAGTGTTGATTGTATCTTTGGCTTCGTAGCAGGTCGGTCACTGGCAATCTCAACATTAAGTTTGAGACCATGGAACTCTTTCTCATGCATCTCTGCAACCGCAGCGTCGGCACTCTCTTTTGTCTCATAGACAATGTAACAGAAGCCGCGATTGTTCCCAGTCTTCTTGATGATGGGACATTTGGTCCTTTCAATCTTGCCAAACTTTGCAAAAGCGTCTCGGATCTCGCGTTCCGTGATCTTGAAGTTGAGATGCCAGACGTATACCTCACGGCCCTCAGATGTCGCGCCATCGCGTTTCTTTTTGGCGTTTGGATCCGATATCTTTGAGACAAGCTTCAATCCCTCAACATCAGTACCGTCTAGTTGTGTCGCTGCAATTGCTTCTTCAGCCGAGGCGAATTGCACATAGCAGAATCGGCGATGCGCATCATATTTCAGAGAGGGGAATCGAATACCCACAATCTCGCCAAATGGGTTGTAGAGGTTTCTCAACCATGCTTCATCCGCATGCGCGGGATAGTTTGTAACATAGAGTGTTGTGCTTTGGCCTCGCTCGATCGAGATGTCGTGACCATCAAAACCCTTTGCCTCTTTGCTCAATGCGTAATCGGCTTCTTCAGGCGTTTCAAACTCCACAACTGCTGTCAAGCTATCCTTCTCTTCTTTCAGCACTAGATTGCGCACAGTACCAGCGTCCGTGAAGAATTGGCGTATCCGGGTCTGCGATGTGTTAGGAGGTAGCTTCTTGACAATAATCGAAGTATGCTCGCGATCCCGTTTAGGTCCGGTGGAGCGAGCCTCTGAGGGGGCTTCGCTAGCCACTCTGGCTTGACCGTTGACCAAAGCACTGGCAACCTCCCCCATCTCTCCATGCTTGCTCTTTTTCGGAACTGCTTCCTCGTCTCCACCTTCTCTCTTACGCTTGCTTGAAGCATCTGCTGCGTGGCTTTCTGGCGTTTCTTGCAACGCTGCTGTCTGGGCGGCGAGAGCACGTTCCTTTTCCCTACGAACTGAGATGATGCGCTCTGCTCTCCGTCGCTCCATCGCAGCACTTCGGACCTTGATGGCCGTCTCATGTTGTTCGCAATGATTGACATACATCTCAAGGAGTGGCTCCGGGTGGTCAATGGTCTGTAGGCGCTTCATACCGCGTTCTAAGACTGCAGTTGCAAGAGAAGGCGGCAGGAGCTGGTGCCCTGCATTCTCCTTGTTCCGGGTTGAGTGTGGTGCCCAGAGAAGCATCTCAAAGATGTAGTAGCGATACCAGAAATCGTACGAGTCTTCTTGGTGTTTTGCAACAGACTCTTGGATTTGTCGAGCTTGATCAATATCACCGCGCTGAAGCCAGAACTTTATGTGTGTTCGTTCGAGACTGTATTTTGGGTCGGTCCACTCTCTGCCATGCTTCTTCATGCCAACTTCGCGGACAAATTCCAGTGCAGATCGTATGCCGACTTCTGCAACATCGACATCATCCTCTGTTGCTCGGGGGTCGTCAAATGCTCTCCGGCGTAAGTAGCCACACCAAGCAAGCTGCACCTTGATAAGTTCATCCAAGTCCGTATGCTCCAAAAGGCCCGATCCGGTTGCTGTGTGCTTAACGAGTTCGAGATCTTCGAATGGCTTGTTTTCTGCTTCAAGTGTAAGTAACCGATGTGACCACAGTGCTCCAGACCAAGGGCAGTGACGCGTCGCACGTTCCAAGACATTCAGCAGGTCGACAGAACGGTTGTCTTGCCAGACCAGGAACTCGACATGATCTTCCCATATTGACGGATCTACAGGGAAACGGAGCGTGGCTCGCTCATAGAGCGCATTGACGAGGTGGAAGCTGTAGACGCCCATGGTACGCTTCTCCCACTTCAGGTACCTCGTCATCGCGGTGTACTCAGCGGCTTGGTCGCCTGCCTGGATGGCTTGCAAAAGCTTAAACTCATATTCCTCGCGATTGGCGTACTGCTGTTTGATGTGGGTGTTCTTCTGGACTGCATCATCCATGACTTGCTCGTAATGGCTCTGGTTGTACCTAGAGTTGAATGAGGAATATCTCGACAGTGTGTTTGCCCATGTGGCATGAGGTTGGCCCAGACGCTCGTTGTAGATGGCGGCTACTCTCTTCGCCTTTTCTTGGCTGAAGCCGCCCCGTTCGAGATCCTCTTCCAACACCTGCAAGTAGCGGTCCCACACAAGGTTACTTTCTTGAAGATTGTACTTGACTCTCTCAGCGCCTTGCTGCAACACATCCAACAAGAGCTGAGGCTGAAAAAGCTCACGACCAATAAGACGCTCTTCTTCTGGCCATTCCTCTGGCGGTACCTGGTCCCACGAGCAAGCAACTAAGTAGCTCACATACTCGCCGTACGCCGCCCAGAGTTTGGCACTATAAGGCTCTTCCTGGGTTGCCTGCTTGTGCAGCTCTAGCACGCCCATGCGTTCTTCAACATCTCTTGCCAGTGTCTTTTCGTCATTGAGTCGGTAGTGCCAGAGCAGCTCGCCCAATGGGTACTTGTCAGACATGGTCTTGTAAGCATCGCGGAGCGTCTGGACAAGTTCGTATGCGTTGGGGTCGGCGTCGAAAGAAGCGAGGTGGTTCTGCAGGCCTTGGTGCAGTGTGGTGACGAGCGAGACATGGCTGTAGTAGTCGAAGGGATTCTCAAGCAGGGTCTTGTCGAGTTGGTTAAGCCAATCGATGAGTTGCGGCTCGAGAGATCTCGTGACGAAATTGCGCGGTCGCGGCGAGGGTTCGGACATGATACTGGCTACCGACTCGCCAGAGAGGTTTTGGCCCAGGTGTTGGAGTCTGCAGTACAGTCAGCATCTGGGGTGGGAAGTCGCAAACAAACCGAGTAACCATGACAGGCTACGGCCCGTGACCGCGGCCAAACGCGTTGCCTATACTTAATAACCCGCTGGACCTATAATAGCCCCACAAACACGTGCAATTGGTACCGGGAGGACCGGGCGGTGACATGGTTCACAAGCACTGATATATATACACTTACGTGACTGGTCGCTGATGAACTGTAGAGTTCTGTCGCGCAGCTTGTTGCTGCTGCATACTGGCGAGATCTGCTGAGTTGTCAGCAGCTACTTCTGGAGTTATACAAATGCACCTTCTCCTTGACGGATAATCCAAGCCTCACTTCAACTCCACCACGGCTTTGCAGCGCCATACGTTATGGCCAAATGGAAAGCGGGCACCTACCTGCTAGTGTATCCATACCGGGTGTCGACGCCTGTCGGTACATGGGATTCGGAGGTGTCATGCGCGCGTCACGAGGCGACGAGACTTGCTGGGGCGTGCCCATGGCGCTGTGTATCGATCTTGCGCCATTGGCGATCTGGGTGTAGCCCGGCGATGGGCCTCGCGACTGGAGAGTTTGATGCGGCTGGGGCTGGGGTTGAGGCTGGGGCGACGACGACGACATGACCTGCTGGCTGAGGCCAGAGGGAGTCCGCGATGGCATCTGGCGCCTCGTGCGCTTGCTCGGCGATGGTAGCAGTGATGGCGACGCGGCGGCAGGCGCGGGCTGTGGTGTGGGAGTGCCCGCAGGCGAGTCCGACGGCGACAACAGCGAGTTGATATCCATGGTGAAGGGTGGCGGCGGTGTCAGGCGCGCTGTGTGTCTATGGATCCAGTGTTTCTGTTTCTACCGTCGCGAAGTACAGGGACTACCAGGCATCGAATCCCTCGTAACGGACGGCATGGGAGGGGCGCAGACGGGCGGCGCAGGAAGCAGGGTCGGATGCGCGGGCGATGGGACAGTGAGGTCGATGGGAGGGAAGAGGGTCCTGCCAACGGCGTGGGTGAGAAGGCCTACAGTCTGATGGACCAGAAGAAAAGGTGCTTAGGTGCATCAGACGAGCTTGGGCCCGCAACTAATCAAGTAGTGATGCAGCAGCCGTTCGGAGCAGCCAGACGTCGACTGGCGATGGCGGAGGCTGCGCATATGGCGGCGGGCGTGTTGCGCGTCACCAGGCTCGCGTCTCGACGGCAGCTTGTTCGTAAATGACAATGGCCTTCCTGCAAGGGGGCGGGACGACTCGATAGCTGCACGCATTGCTTCTGAGGGCTTGATCGCCTTGCGTCTGGCTCATGGCGATCATCTGCCGAGACTCTCCACCCCCTGCAAGCGCGGAGCCTTTGGCCGCAACCACAGAATTTCCCGTCAACCTCAGCCTCCGCCCTCCGCACCCGCCGCAGCTTCAACGGCCACAGGCCTTCACATCATGAGCGCTCGAGTCCCACCGCGGCGGCTGGCACAGTCAGGTATGCCATTGCACCGCTTCCCCAGCCCTTTCTTGGCTCGCCAGTATCACCACCACGGGGGGTAAACTGACAACGACTAGCCCTCGCCGCACTGCGCCCTCGGACCCATTGGGTCCCCTCCACATCTCTCCCCTGCATTTCCCGCCGCAATGCGTCTTCTGGAGGGAGCGGGAATGACGAGGACCTCACCAATCCCATCTTGGACCAGTACCTGCGGAAGAAAGAGCTTGAATCCGGCGCAGTAGACGGCGGCCGATCAGTGCGCCCTACCCCTCGCTTTGGAGGCCTTTCGAACCACCCGTCATCCCTCTTCCTCCCCGAGCGCGAGATTCCAGGATGGCGAGACGACCTCAGTGCTGCTGAGAAAGAGAAGCTTCAGGCACGGTACAGGCGGCGGCAGGAGCAGGCCAAGCAGCAGGAAGAGCGGGAACTCATGAACATGAACATCGACCCAGACCAAACCGCTCGCAAGCGTCTCGAACGCAAACTCGTCATCTCAGGCGTCAAGCGCCACGGCCGCATGACAAAGTCGCAAAAGCTGCTCCGCACCGAACGCCAATCGCTCTACAAGTCGCACAACCTGCCCACCTCGACGAAAAAGCTGCAAAAAGTAGTCAACCAAATCGCCGGCAAGACGGTCTCAGAAGCCCTCGTGCAGCTCCGCTTCTCCAAGAAGAGAATCGCCCGCGACGTAATAAAGGGTCTCGAAATCGCCCAAAATGAAGCCATTGTGGGCCGCGGCATGGGCCTAGCGGGCGAGGCAGCCGCCGTCTCGCGCTGGAATAAGCAACGAGAAGCCACTGATGCGGGGAAGCCGAAGGACACTTGGGACTACAAGACCTCCAGCGACGATTCTGGCATCGAAGTCACAAAACCCAAAGTCCCGTTTTTTAAGGACACCACGATTGAGCTGAAGGACGGACGCAAAAAGGTCGTCCGGGATCCAAGTGAAATTTACATTGATCAGGCGTGGGTAGGGCCCGGCGAGTCCTGGAAGAGTCCAGAGTTCAGGGCCAGAGGTGCTATTAATATGCTCAAGCACCGTACAACGAGTATGTGCTAATATCCATTTATTATTCCCACGGATAAGATGCTAACCACACCACACCAGGCTTCTCCGTCCTCCTCAAGGAAGAAAAGACTCGCATGCGCATCTCAGATGAGATCAAGAAAAAGCGTGATAACCGCAAAGTCTGGGTCGCTCTGCCTGACCGACCGATTACTTCTCAGCGACAGTTTTGCTTGTGGTAGACTTTTTCCAACGATACTTTTTTATGTGTACAAATCTAGTCGGGGAGAATATCTCGACTTGTAACAATAAGCCACTCGAACTTGAATGTAGCACACCTTACGAACATGATTGAGATGACAAGGAAAGACATATAACACATGTTTTCTCCATATTCCCTGGAACAAAATACACATGCATGCGTAATCCCGAATCCAAAAGGCCCTGCATCACATTTTTCCACGTCCCTGCATTCACCTGTCCAGTCCATACATGCAAACGTATCAACCCAGATCCACCCTTGTCACATACTTCTTTTATCATCAACATGCACAAGAGAAAGAAGCCGACATTGCAGAACAACGGAAACCCTTACGATAAAAAATGAACGCCATCGCTATGCAAATCCAAACGCAGCGTATACGCGCTCCTCAAGCCTCCGCCTCCACCCCACCCACGCTACTAACAAGCATATCCAACATCCCCCTGACCTTCCACGCATCCTGGCTCGCCTCCACCGTAACCTTAACGCGCTGCATAAGCGCGAGAACAAGATCATCAACTTCCTCGCTCCTGCCCAGCTGATCGGCATAAAGGTCGAGGACAACGAGTGCGACGTCGGTAGTAAGGCGCGTGATACGGTAGTCTGAGATGTTTTTGATGCACCAGCGGAGGATGGGCTGGAGGGACTGTGAGTCGCGATTGCTGAGGGCGATGCGGAGAGCGGAGCGGTGGCGCAGGGCGGTTAGGAGAGTTATGGAGGCCATACGGGCGTTGCCTTGCTGTGTGATGTATTAGTAACAACGATAAAAAGTGATGGAGGGAGAGGGGAGAGTTTACCTTTGACTCGAGAGCCATGTCTAGAGCTTGTGCGTACATGCCTTTTCGTAGGGCATGTGCCCATGGCTGACCGTTTGTGATTTTGCCGCGGGCATTGCCTTCGATGACGATGTCGGCGCTTTCGCCGGTAAAGTCTTTGCCTCTGATCCGCTTTTCCCAGCCCTTTCCGCGCTTTCGCTTTTTGCTGCGGTCGTACTCTTCGATTTTGCCTTCCATAAGAGCTTGCATCTCCTTTTCTCTTTCGCGTGCTAGAACTTTTTGCTCGCCGGAGAGATGGGTCTTGATTGACAGGAGACCAGATTGCATGCCTACCGCGATATGGCGGTCTTCCTTCTGACTGGGGATAACGTTGAGTGAGAGGATGGGCGAGGGGTACTTTAGTCCGCCCACGACGTTCCAACCAGTGGTTTCGAAAACCTTGACGTGCCCGTCGAGCGCACCAGAGAGAAGACGCTCTCCGTTGTTTGCCAAAGAGAGTGCCGTGACAGTCTTCTGGTGATTGCGCAGCATATGGATGGGCTTTGCTGCTACAATGTCCAAGACGCTGATCGTGTTATCAGACGCCGCGAGAACGGCAGTGCCGGAAGGCATGGGGAGAACGGTCTCGATAGGCGCTGCGTGCTTGAAAACCATGACCGCTTTTCCGCCTACTCGCGAATCCCATAATCTAACTGTCTGGTCGTAACTTCCAGAGACAAGCAGCCCACTTTGCGCGGGCATAAAAGTCCCACTACGTACATAGTCCTGATGGCCATCAAACTTCATCGTGCTCTTCTCGCTTGGCAGATCCCACAACCGCACTGTGCGATCGTCGGAACAACTCATCAGCCCAGTCAACTCTTGCGGATTCCATTGTGTAACCCAAACAGGCTGCTTGTGCTCCTTCCATGTCTTCAAAATCGCCCTGCTCTTGACATCAAACGCTTGGATGACACCACTGTCTCCTCCCGCCACCAAGATTCGGCCATCACGGCGAATGTTTCCAGAATGCGCAATGTCGTCGACGCCGAAGCGCGAGATGGTCTTGACGACTTTCCGGGTCTTGGAGGAGAAGATTTGGACGCGCGACCCAGTCGTCACCGCAAACAGATCCTGGGTTGCCGAAAGCGCATTTGCAGGCTGGGGCGGCGGTGTTGAAATGTGTGTTACGGGCGAGGAATGCTGCGAAGGGTCGAGTCTGAGCTCCGAAGCGAAGGAGTTCCAGTATTTTTGCTCCGACGTGAGGCTAGTAGGGCCCTTTGGCAGCTTCAGAGGCTGCAGTAGTTGGACTTCGGCGGCCATTGTGTGAATGGAATGCGATCACAGCGCGTGAGGTTGCTCGTGTCGCGAGCTTTTCGAGTGGGACGAACTTTTCGGTGGAGCAACGATTGGCGCTAACGCCATCGAGTAGTGGCGCCTTCCCGGCCGGGATGCGGGCAGATGCCAAGATACATGCGTGTTAGTTCGGCGGGCGCATATTGCAAACAGGGCCCTGGAGCGTCACCTCCACCCACAGTCTCGTCTACCCTTTGTCCATGTAGCACTGTTGCCCACACTTCCGCTGCCATAAATATCGCGCCCACATGCCATCGACTGTCGCCCAGGGCGCGGTTGACTAGCGCTGGTTGCCTGGAGGATCCGCGCGCACGGCGTGCACCCAGTTCATCATTCCACTCCGTCGCCAGCCACAGCCACAGCCACAGAACCTTCATCTGGCTCCTGTTCCGTCATAATCAGTTTCTGCCATGCGATTCTCACCTTTTAATTGCTGCTCGATCCGCTTGCACCTTGCTGACGCCCGAATGTCTGATTGCCTATCGCCTGGATAAGCCGCCTGTGCCCACTTGGACCATCGTCTCCAGCCTCAACGCGTCAAGATGAGTGGCAACGCGCTGGACAAGATGGACGAGTTTTTCGACTTTGCTGCGCTTGAACACGATTCGGCGCTTCATGCAACCAAGCCATCTCATCAACAACAGAATCTGCCCTCTCAACCTGCCGCCAATGTGACGACTATGGACTGGGCTACGGTCCCAATAGCCACGACCCGTTCCATGGATGCCACGCAGCGTTGGGATGACCCCATGGACGTTGCTCCCCAAGACCCTTCGATTAGTCAAGCTGGCCAGCAATGGCCGTTATTTTCAGTTCCTGAATGGTCACCACCTGTGAATGTGAACCCCACATTAGACTCTACTGGAGACTCAGTCCATGGTGAAAATCCAGGTCCCGCCTTCGCATCCTTGTCGCCAATTGATGTCCCGTATCCAGACCTCCATCGTGCCAATGATGATAGCCTACCCAGTACATCACAGTCCGAACCTCCATCCTGGGACAGCCGGTCTGCAGCCCAGGCTAATCCTCCTGAAGTGGCAGTATTGCCTGTTAGTCCAACTGCATCAATCCAGCAAACCCCCAATGCCAGCCGGAAGCCTGCGTCAGCGAAACGCAAAGGCACTCAAAGCCGCATTCCTATCGAGGCAAAACAGATTCTTGAGGATGAATTCGCTACCAACGCATATCCCTGTTCATGGGAAATGGATATCATTGCTCATCAGGCCAATCTTGATGTCAAAAAAGTTCGCAATTGGTTCAATAACACTCGAGCAAGAAAGAAATGCGAAGGTGCGTAGTGTTGAAAAAAGATTTATCAAACATGCTTACATAGACAGACCCGCAACCTGCTGCACAAAATGATACACTTAGCGGACATTCATTCAACCCAAGGCTTTCAAGAGATAGTCTGGAAAGCTTGGACAAGCAAGCAGATAGTGCGCTGTCACCACCACAGCCGCCGTTAGCCATGTACCTTGCTCAGTCCTATCAAGAAGAAGGTTTGGCGCTATCCGCAGTAGAATCGGCAATCTATGAGCACTCAGTCAATGGGAGCTGCCAAGACGACACATGGTCGGGGTCGAAACAAGGCCGTAGAGGTTCTGTCATCACTTCAATTGCCTCCTCCGAAGGCACTGCACCGACCACCTATACAGTATCATCTAGTGGCAGTCGTAGTAATATCTCATCTTTCGGTCGAGATCGGCGGCGCGGCCGACGCCGCATGGCGTGGAAGGAGTCGCCCCGCCAAGCTATCAACGGCGTCAACAGTGCGGGCGAGCCACAGAAAGATCTACCCTTTTTCTGCACCTTTTGTCCCCGAGCGTTCAAGACAAAATACGAGTGGGTCCGTCACGAAGACTCCGTACATGCACTTCGCACTACCTGGATATGCTGTGACACAAAACCAGCCGCAGTTCTTGAAGTGTGCCCTTTTTGTGGTCAAGTCAGTCCTAACGATGCACACCTGGCTGGACACAGGTATCAGCAATGTCGGAGCAAGCCCGAATCACAACGCACGTTTTATCGTCGCGATCACTTCATCCAACATCTGCATCATGTGCACTTTGGAAACAGTAAACATCCATCAGTGCGGGTCGGCTGCCAGGCACGACTACTAGCCGCTGAGGGCCACAACTTTGGTTGCAAAGATCTTACCATGAAGTGGCGTCGCTTCGGTGCTCCCATGAAGATTGATGACCCCATGCTTCACTGTGGGTTCTGCGGTAAGAAGTCAAAGGACTGGTCTGAGAGATGTGAGCATGTTGCCGAGCATCTCATCGCGCGTGAAGTAGATCGTGGTGTCTGGTGGACCGAACGCAAGGAGAACCACTTGGAGAATCTTTACTCGGCATCGCCTTATGAGTCGTTCCGTTGCCGGTACTGCCAAAAAGTGTTTACAGACGTCAAGGAGATGATCGAGCACTCGCATTGCCGCGTGTGGAGCTGTCGATTTTTACGAAGTTTTGACGACGTCGCTGCCGACACTCCAAGCCCTCCTCTAGGAACAGAATTCCCATCAGCAAAGGGCCATCATTGCCATTTATGCGGCGCAGGATATCGAACCTTCCACATGGAGCACGCACAGCACCAACATCGCTACCGATCATGCAACCAAGAATTCTACACATCCGAGGAATCCTTTCTCCAGCACCTCCACAACTTCCATGGCGCATCTCAGCCCGCGCTCCTCCGCGGCAACGGCGTCATCGAGCAGAGCTTCATGCGCAACAAAGGCGGCTCCTTCGAGCCCGTCGAGTTCAACGAGAGTTGGCAGCCCTGCGTCATGGACCTCGACGTCGCATCCGTCAGCCCCTTTGTAGTAGACAACACGCGCTCGCCCCCACCGAAGAAAACGCAAATACAATCCAAAAAGGCGCTGTCTGTATCTAAGAAACCCCGTGAAGCAGTGCAGGCCACGCAAAAGACACACAGACAACGCGCAGCTAGTGCGGCATCAAAAGCTGAGAGCAATGGACCTCGTTTCTTCAGGCTGGATACTCACGTCCCGTTTCTTTGTTCGCGTGTTTTTTACTCGAGACAGGCTAGAGCATCGAGTTTGACAAAGGATAGTAAAACGTTGCTGGAGGAAATACCCAGGCCGCATGTTGCGGCGTTGGTGATGAGCGCGGCGCTGGTTGGTATGGCGCCTGCGCGTTTGCCTATTCGCCCTGAGCGTGATATAGCGAGTGGGATGGTGGAACTGCGTCTTGATGGCGAGGTCAAAGCAGAGTAGGGAACTTGTATTTGTAAATTATTTCTGGGAATTTGCACGTGGGATTTTGCAAAGCAGGAAAATACAAAATGGGGGAGTTGTGTGTCAGATGTGTGTCGTCATTATTCATTCAGGTATCATTAATGATGTTCTTTCTCGCCATATCATTTCTCTGCTTTTTTATCACTTGTACTCTACCTCACTCCCAACGTCCCCTTCCCCCTCCTTACTTACAAACTCTCAAGAACCCGCACATCGCTCATAGAATCAAAGGGTATCATACTCGTCTTCGTATCACTCCTTAGCGCCCACTGCAACGTCTTTTCCAGAATCCGGCGTCCCGTGTGTTCAAGCTGTAACCTATATCACAGAAAACATTAGCTTTCTCATTCTCTTCTTCCTCAACCCGAAAAAAAAACAGAAAGAAATCAGTGAAATAGTGGACAAAACGTACCAATGTCCTGCCCCCTTCACAACAACAACCTGACTTCCCCTAACCAAAAACTCTTTGGCACCCTCTAGCGCAAGCCGCTGATCAAATGCCAAATCCCTCTGTCCCAACATGAGTGTCGCAGGCGCTTTTAGCGCGCCCTTGGGCGCCGTGTTCGCCAACGTACCGGCATTTGAACTCGAGGAGTGCATAGGATTCGAAGCGATGTTGTACAGCGCTGCTGTCGTTTCCAGGCTTTTCTCCCAAGGCTCGAAAAACAGGTTTTCGCGGTATATCCTGATTTTCTCCCACATACCGCGGTCTGTGAGGCGGGCGTGCAGGGAAGGCGGGTAGGAAGTTCCTTCGGGGGTTTTGGTACGGAGTTGTTGCGAGCTGGGACCGGTGGAAGTAGCCATTGCTTCTGCGACTTCAAGGGGGTCCATTGGTGTGGATGTTATGAGTTTTGAGCTGTGTTTGGAAGGCTTTGGGGAAGGTTGATGGGGTTTACCGAGTGTGTGAAGGAGGCGGAGGAACCAGTAGTTTCCAAAGGTCGCGAAACCGGTGCTGAAGGGGCGGGGGAGGTGGAAGATGAAGATATAGAAGGAGTGTTTGAATTGACTGGCGATAGGGCGGAGGGCATTGAGGCCGTTTTTAAGGAGGCGCGTGTTGCGCGGGGAGGAGACCCAAGTGTGTAGCATTTGCTTTGCGAGCTGGATTCGGTGGTGGACGTTGGAGGTTTGATGCCCGGGTATCAGGCCGCCGGTTATGATCCAGTGGTCTGCTAGGACGTGGGCTTCTGCTGCAAGACGGGCGCCGATGATGGCGCCCCAGTCGTGTGTTAGGGCTACGGTTTTGCTGCCTTCTTGTAGATACTGTTCTCGTATGCTAATCATGAATTCGCTGATCGCTTCGAGCATGTCGTTTGCTCCGTATGTTGGAAGGGTGTCTGAGCCACCGTAGCCGGGGAGATCGACGGCAACAAGAATGGTGTCTTGTTGTAGCGAGGGGGATTGGAGGAGGTGTCGCCATATGATGTAAGAATCGGGGAAACCTGAATGTATGGTTAACTTCTCTCCTTCTGTCTCGTTTTACACAGTATATTCAGAGACCTCTCTAAACACATTTCACATACCATGAACAAAAATCGCAAGATTCTTAACTTTCTGTGACGACTGATCTCCCTCATGAACAACATAATGTAACCTCACCCCCTTGCTTGTGTCAAAAAACTTATGTTTGAATCCCGGCAGCGGCTCGCGATCCAGACTCCAGAATCGTTCTTGTGCAGCAGCCAATTCGCGCTTCTCGGCAGCGCTATCTCTTGCCCACAGCGCCCCATTCTTGAACACCGCTACCGTATAGATTTGCGCCAGACTCGCCAGTCCAAAGGTAAACTTGAACCCGCTCCATGCCAGATTCCCCAGCTGCTCCGACATATTTTCCCTCTGATTGCGCAGGAATCCTGGAATCGAGGGGGGATACTCGAGAGCTTTCGTCGTGACAAGCTCAAGAAAAGCGATGAAGGTGGGTAGTTATCTATGCCAAATCGCCAGTAGCTATAGTAGTATGGTAATACGCTCGTCTCTCATTCGGCAAGTAAAAAAGTTAGTCGTAAAAGGGGTGGAACAAAAAATCCCGAGAAAAAGCGAAGGAGAAGGGGAAAAAAGAGAGAGCACTCGTCCATCAAAACACAACCCTATCGCGTGCCCCTCCCCCACAATCCCCCGCCGCAAGCACCCAACCAGACCAACCAAACCCAACCCTATCTCACCCACCCCCTTTCTCAATCGCAGATCGGAGTAGAAATCAGGGCAATGAGCAGCGGTACAGCTAATCTAAAACAGTAGCTCCCTTTATTTTCTCCAAACGACGATCTTACTGTTCTGCTTTATCTCTCCCATGTTCTTCCTTTGTCGTCACAGAGTCACGAGTCCCCCCCACCTTCCACCACCACGACATTAGCGCATTGAAGAAAACAGCCAGGGTCGAATGAGACGGGAGAGGCTTTTAATTTTCGCGTTCGAATACTAGCGTGCAATATAGTGATTGTCTAGGGATTGGGGGGTGGGGGGTTGTGACGATGGTGGCCATAGCTTTTTGATTGGGGGTGGGTGGTTTCCCGTGTCCGTGTTGGATGGGGGTAATGGATCCGTAGATATTTGGTTTATGTAGTACTTTGTGCAATTTGGGGGCAAGGTTATGCGGTAGATAAATATGTTTTACCGCGGCAATTGGGCACACTGGGAAGGTGGCTTTCAATGGTTGCTTTAGGGAGGAAGTGAGGCACGTGTTAGCCGCTGTAGGGAGAGGGTGTTTGTCGCTGAGGGTTGTGGCATAGTGTATGTGTAAGTATGAACGAATACAAAGTTGGCAATTTCAGCGTAATGGTACAGCAGAGCTGCGTGTATCCATGTGAGATAAATTCAAGACGTATGTAGATACGCATTTAGAGTTACAGTCTGGCTGTGGCAGCCAACCACAATACGCCTTCATTCCCTCATCGTGACATCGCAATGTCGGGTATCATAAATTCTCGCCTTCCAGTCTTTCCCCGGAATCTCCCAACCAAGCAAATGCATCTCTCCCCTCTAATTCCCCGCCTTATTGCTTCTTTCCCTTAACCCTCTCCATAACCCTCAACTCAGCACTTCGCTGCAACCTCAGGTCCTCCAACTCCCTCTCCACCGCCTTGTTCTTCTCCACAACCTCCTTCCTCCTCTCCATGCGCTCCTTGACCTCTTCCATCTTACTCCTCACCACATCTTCCACTACCCTCTCCAGCTGCCCCGCATCTTCGATACCGTGCTCTCGTATGAATCGATCTGCAAACTCCTGGACCGTATGCGGTGAGGGTCCCGGTCCGCCAGTATGATACCCGTTCTTATGAGTGAGATATAGACCAGGTATTGCAGAGTTGTGGGTGCGGAGATGCGAGGAGAGTGGTATGGGTAGTTGTGATGCGGAGATTGTAGGGATGTCTTGGGAGGGTTTCCGTGGTGAGGGAGCGGGTGGTGGGTTGAGAATGAGATCCATGAGGCTATTTTCAAAGGCTTCGTCGTAGCGCACGGTTGAAGGAGAGAAGTCCACCATTGGTGAAGTGAGTTCGGGTTCGTCGCGTGGTGTGAGCGGCGTGTTGCTCATTATTGTATCTTCGTTACTCATGATGTATGCACTTTCTGGTTCGCAGTGGGTTCGCGACACGTGAATTCTGGTGGGATATGTTATGCGACTAGTCGGGTGTGGTGGAAGTGGTGGAAATGATGATGAGCGTAGTTGCGATGGAGACGTTGAAGCGTCATGACTAAGCCTTGACTTCCTGCACGCGCCTCCGCGGTCACTACAACCACGGTTCCTGCCAACCAAAAGCTTCACAATCCAACTTTTCAAACATCGCTATATCGTAATCATGGCCGATAAACTCCGTGCACAGCAACAGCTCGAAGCACTTCAAGCGCGGTATATTGGTATCGGCAGCGCAGACACTACGAAACACGAATGGACGTCCAACATCGCGCGCGACTCGCTGTCGAGCTACGTCGGACACCCGCCTCTTCTGCAGTACATGAGCATTGGACTGGGGCAACCACGTGAGAAGACCAGACTGCAACTTTTGGAAAGAATGGTTAGGCCTGTTGGGCCGCCGCCTGAGGTGAGTAGAGGATGAGAAAGGGATTTAGTCAAACGAAGGTGCTAACAGGGTACAGCAACAAGACTGAGGCTGGATCGTATTCAGATGCAATGTGAAGAAATCTATCAAAAGCATTTCACTACGCAAAGAAAAAGGCAAAGGTTGCTCTTGGTACCGACACGACGGATACATGCAAGGATGGTAGTCATATGGCAACGTAGAGCCCATGAGCCGGCTACGTGGTGCTTGTTTGAACGGCTCTTAGCTGATTCTATAGACATGCTTAAATCCATAGCAAACGCCGGGAGCTGGTGATGATGGTGGTGGTGGTGATGGTGAGAGGCATGCAGACACCTCGACTCGAATGAAGATAGCCCGGCTACCCTCGTTAGCGGAGGCCAAATGATAGTTCATAGCCCATATTTTGTCGTGATGTTGCTGCCTCAATCGCTCTCACTTCCACTGCCTGCATGGCCGTCATCGTCATCCTCGACGATGTCTCCACCAGCCTGGATGGCAAACTCGCCCTTTTGCAGCATACTCTTCAACTCCGTGTTCCGTGGGTCAACCAGCTCGACGGGCTTGAGCTTCGCCTTATTCCGTATTCTAGGATCGCATCCTGCGTCTAAGAGCATGGCGACGATGGATTGGCCATGGGGCCAGACGTCTTTTTCGAGCGAGTTGACGTAGCGTACGGCTTTGTGGAGGGGCGTGTCCTGTTCCATGCGGTCGATTTCGTCAATCTCAAGGCCTTCTTGGTCGAGCAGCATGTCGATGACCTCGACTGCAGCGGCGTTAGCGTGTGGGCGTCCCGAGAGGCAGCCTGGCCGGAGGATTGGAGGTACTCACAACTTCCGTAGGTGGCAGCAATGTGAAGGCAGCCGTTGCCAAGTCCATCGCGCGCGTTGTTCAGTATGTCTGCGACATAGTCGGCAGGCTTCTTGTCTGACTTTTTGGCAGCCGCATTCAGGTCGGCCAATGTTTCCTCGAGGAGCTCGGTGTTGTTGCGTCGGCAGGCTTCCAGAACAAGTTCTCGAGGAGAGGCTCCCTGTAGGCAAGTTTTAGCAGTGGTTCTTTTGGGAGTTTTGGGGCGACGGCCATGTACATACGTCGTGGTGGTCAGCCATGGTGTAGGAATCCCGTGGATGCTTGCAGTGACTGGACAAGGGCGGGTGGCTGACAGGTCGGGCACAGCACACAGCAAACGGCACACGCGCGAATGTTTCGTCGACTTGTTTGGCGGGGTATTTCGGAAGTGCTAACGGAAACAAGGTGACAGGCCCCAGGGCGGTGAAGAGGGCGATGCTGTTGTTCACTGCGGCACCCAAAAGGCTGCGATAAGACGTCGAGGCAGTAGTCAGTGAATTAGTGACATTGCCTGTCCTCTCCCCGGATCTAGTTGGATAAGCTCGCAATCTGAGACAGCCCGACACTCTCCCAAGCCCAAGTCCGCGCCGCCGCCGCCCACCACTGCCACCACCGCACAAGGCTATGGCTGGTGGCTCGCCCCGCACTTTTCCTCTTTGGGCCTTAGCGCCCTAGGGTCCCGCCATAATCTTTCGAGCAAACGCATGCATCGACTCTACGTATGCCTACATATATGCCCATGTACATGTAACAGCCACAACCATACGGCCCACCATGCTTCTCTGTAAGTTGTCGCACACGGCCCCGCTCGCTGGCTCTGCAGCCACAGCTAATGAAAAATCCCTCTAGTCTGCCCAACATGCAGCAACATGCTGCGCGTCTCTGCTGTCCCGCCTGGCGACCCTACCACCGAGGACTTTGTTGGCCAGAACCGCTTCGAGTGTCTCACCTGTCCCTACCACTTCGTCATCAACAAGCGCTACTATGAACGCAAGTATATGAAGAAGAAGGAGGTCGAGGATATCCTGGGAGGAAAGGGCGCGTGGGACAATGTCGACAAGACCGAAGGTATGTGGCCAAGTCTAGTCTTCGGCATGCCTGTCCTGGCAAGAACACGGTCCTAACACTAGGAAACAGTACAATGTCCAAACGAAAAGTGCAGAAACCACGAGGCATACTGGTACCAGCTGCAGATTCGCAGTGCCGACGAGCCCATGACGGCTTTCTACAAGGTGGGTTGTGCTTGCGCCGAGGCAAGAAAGGTCCTCTTGCTAATTTTAATCAAACAGTGTACCCAATGCGCTAAAGAGTGGCGAGAATAGACTATCGCCATTTCTAGCACACATGCATACGTTTGAGGAGTTTGGGAGCAGTCAATGTTTTGGTATACCCCGGTTGAGTTTCTACAAGTGTGAAAAAAAGTACACCATCGTCCTTGCGCAGCAGTGACGCAGTCCGATTCGCTGGTCTAGCATTTCATTCAAAAGCATCACAAAACTAACGTAAAGATTTTCAAATCCTGGCGTAGGCTCGCCAATAAGCCACCTGAATAAAATTTGATCTACGACCAAAAAAAGAACATGTTGAAGATGAAAAAGAAATGCGGCATCACAGCGTACATGCTCCAAATCTAGCGTACAAGCACCGTTTCCACCCCCATCATCCTCACTTATGAATTCTTCTGCGCCATCGTCCCCTCTCTGCCAATTATCCCAAACATTGGCACAACACTATCACTAATCCCCTGCACCTTCTCCCTCACACTATTGCTACCACTAGCCCCTTTTGGACTCCCCGTCGCAGGCGTATTACTCGGCCACGCCCACAGCGTATCAAAATCAATCTGCTCGTCCAACCCGCTCTCTTCGCTGTGCAGACTGGGTACCCGCGTCGCTTCCAGTGCCGAAAGATCCAGCATCGTGGACAGCGAGGGCGCCCCCAAAGGCAGCGATGCAGACGGCATGGCCATGTCGAGAGACGGCGGTCTCTGGATCGGGGATAGATGGACTGAGAATTCCGGTTCAGGTGGGTTGAGCGTGTTTTCTTGTGTTTGGGCACCGACTGAGACGGGGACTGTGGGTTGGACGGGCAGATGTATGGCTTGGGGCTGAGGCGGTGTTTGGACTTGGCCTGGTACTTGCTTGAGGAGTGGTCGGTCGTTGAGGGGCGTTGTGTGTAGGCCAGGGTAGATGTGTATGGGGACTTGGTGGAGTCGGGGTGTGCCATCCAGGGGATTTGTTGGTTGGACCAAACCAGTCACATTCGGGGTCGGCTGCTGTTGTGCCTGCTGCTGCTGCGGTACCTGTACGCCGTACAGCTGTGATGCTATGCTCGGCAGCGTTGAATTGCTTGTGAGACTGTCTTTCCGCCGCAGACGCTGTTGTGTGACTACATCTCTGAAAGAGCTGAGAATGTACACAAGTCTTACTGCCTGTTGGTCGCTTTCTGCGCAGTAATTCATAACGTTGATGGCGTTGACCACGCAGTTCTCTGCTGCATCAATCTGATAAAGGCCGGCAAAGTCGCTGGCGAGGATAACAAGTGTAGCTGCGAAAAGGAAGTAAATGACGGCAGGATTACGACGGGACAAGTAGCCCGCTTCAAAAGCGTTTTGGACCAGAAGAATAGTGTGCACAGAGGCAATCACGCACGCCTCACTGAACCGTTCCATACGAACAAAGGGTCGAGGTCCCCTATTTCCCGGCTGCTCTACCTGGCGCTGCGTCTCCTTGTTGAGAATGTACAGCAGGAACGGCCGAGTCAGCAGAATGATGGAGTGACAGTAAAACAGATTGACGTGCAGAATAGCTACACCCTGACTAGGTGATGCGGTCGCAGCCTGTCGCCACTGTAGAATGGGTGTCAATGCCCGTGGCCATTTCTTGCAAATGTCAGAAATCTCCTGTGCAAGCCGAGTGCTGATTTTGCGTCTTTGGTAGACCTTGCGTAAGATGACACCAATCACCTTGCAGCTCCGCACAGCAGCTTCCAATGCTGCAGGCCCTGTTTCGTTGTAGTCGTACACTGTCTTTGGAGTAAAAGTCCAAGACTGGTTGTAGTCACCATCAGAAGGTTGGAGCGTGTCACCAGAGCAGTCGTCCTCAGATATAGCAGTTGGGCGACCCAAGGAGCATGACAAGAGACGATCAATGACAAAAATGGATCGCCACAGATCCTTGCGCTGAACCTGCTCTTCCGGGCTGAATATCACCATGGTCTCTTCTCTGTGGAGACCCAGTGCAAGAGCGGATCGCGCTGCCATGCCAAGCAGGGCGAAAGCAGTATTCCGCTTTGTCTTGGCCAACATGTAGACTGACATGAGCAGCAAGGCTTGAACAGACCAAAAGTCCTGGTCCTCTAGCCCAGTCATAGGATCGTTGAGGCTCTTAGCGTTCAGATAGAATGCTTCTGCTCGGTCGAGATGCTCGCTCCGCAGCTTGTCGATGATGAGGGCTTCTGGACTACCAGACAGCGGCGTTGCCATTGTCAAACCAATGGCGAACACCAGGTAGAGCAGGCATAGCCATGAGGAACTCACCGAGAGTGGATCCGAATAGCATTGTTCCAAGCTTTTGAAGAAGCGGTCACGGTTAAAGACTTGCAACAAGCCATGGGTATTGATGAAGAAGGCCTCTACCAGAACTCGGGCCGTCTGCTCGTCGGGTAGGAGATGGGTGTGCTGATATCCAAGTGGAAGTGAGTACTGACCCTCTACTATCTTATGTCGACGAGGGTCGGTAGTGAATGGAGAAGGTCCGGCTACCGTCTCGACCATCATCCGAAGGAGCTGGAGGAAAGATAAGGTAGCTGCATCACCGATATACAGTACCCGACCAGTAGGGTCCTGTAGCATCCTACTCTGACTCGGAAACTCAGCGACATCGTCTCCACCATCATGCGAAGTAGTGTCCTGTGGCACAGTCGATCTGCTGCCATCACTGCCATGATTCGTTGGCGGTTTAGGTACGGCAGCAGAGTTCGCAGCAGAGTTCGCAGCAGGGGATGGATAAGAAGCCTCCTGATTCGAGCTTATTGCATGGGACACGAGGGACGGCTGTCGAGGAGCGGTAGATGTCCGTCGGTGCAGGGTCAGTGGTGAGGGCTGGGCCTGCCCATTGGTGGGTGTGTTTGCCGACGAACTACCATTTATACTACAAGTGAGAGATGAGTTAGTATTGAGATGAACTGAATCAAAATATCCATCAAGAGTATCTCCTATGGATCACTTTTGTGTACATGCAGATAACATGCATGTTTGACAAGTACTGCCGCCTGATTGAGAGAAAGGTAAGTACATACACGGGGCTTGGGGCGTTACTAGTAGTTTCAACTATGCGCTTCTTCGCGGGTGGCCTGTCTTCGCTTGGATAGTTTGGGTCTCGGTCCGTGTAAATGCATGTGAATTTCCGCTGATCAATTTTAGCACATTGATGCGTGGATAAGCTGAAGGCTTACCTTGTCACAAGTGTTACAAGGTTGGAGGCCGTTACACTTTTGGATGATTAGTTTTGGTCCTGTTGATTGGAGGGCTTGACAGAGGTGCTGTAATGATTGATGGAGGGGCAGGACTAGACTAGGACGTCTACGTTAGACATGTGCACCAAAAGGGCTACTCTTGCGTGCATGCCGCGGGAGCATTGCACAGGCTAATGGCATGTTCCGAGCCTACTCGTACAAATATCCGGCTCCGCTGTGTTTGAGCGTGGCCAAATCGAACCGTTGGGTGACATGCCGTGAGGCGGGTGCGGCCAGGTTCTGCGCTGACGAGTGGCAAGCATGCAACAAAACGCAGCGTCTGTGAAGCAGCCGTCTTGGAAGGGGATGATGAAAGCGCACAACTCGCCTTTTGTTTTCTGCGCTTGCAGCTCTCACATGCCTGTGCAGTGCGCTGCCGCTGATCTATGCAATACCGTGTTAGCACCACTACGGCAGCCACACCGACAGACGCGAAACGGACCTGGTGGAACCTTTGGGCGCGTCATGCTGTAAAGGCTATGTGCGTATGCGCCTCGGCTGAGGTCTGTGGTTCGTCACGTGCAGCAGCGTTGAGTGCTTAATGCGATGGGGACATTGCCGACGCGACGGAACGATGAAGTGTGATCGGAAGATGCACTCGCTCGAGGTGAGAACGGTAAGGAGAGCCCCCCGGGACTTGCATCCCACCGCCGAATCAAACGGCGAGGCAAAAGGGGTCCCACAGTTTCGAGTCGAGCGACTGGAGCGCGCGAGCCGGCGATGACGAGATGACAGAGACGGTCCTGCGGATGGTTTATGGGTGCAAATGCCCATGGAGTCGTCCCTAAGCATCACGCAAAGCTTGGGCCAGCACCTTTCCGGAAGTCGGGTAGCGCAGCACGTCTGCCGATCGTCACAGAAACCGTGTTGCTACATGCACATGCTGGGCCAGTCCGCCTTCGGCATCATGCCGTCCACATGCACGCCGTGGTTGGCAGGCCATGCTCATCGCCACAACGGCTTACTAGGACCAGCCTCGACATGCAGCCAGACACTCATTGCAACGGCTCTGCCGTTGCCCATCTCGGCGTCTCGGTCCGCCCGTCAACGGCTCCCATGGCTTGCTCTTAAGCCGCCGCTGCCGTCACTCGGCCGGGCAGAGTACACGTCTAGATACCATCACCATCACCATGGCACCCTTCCTTGGAACAGAACAGGGCCAAAACAGCCACTCCACCCAAGCAAACGCCTTGCTGTTGGGTACAAGAACAGCCTTGGACCAGCTTCTAACAAAAGCCAAAGACAACCTCCCTGAAGAGGCACTTCAGCATATTACCAATGTCAAGTTCTCTACCGCCAACACAGGATCACCCTACTTTCCAAGTCCATTGAAGCAGACGGAAGCAATTTCCGCCCTCAAGGCTGTCGAGGCAGGCGTGGCGTCTGCCATAGCTGATCTTCACAACGATCAAAAAGACCGCCAAATTGCAGTCGATCTGGAAAGAGCGACAGCTTTTCTCTTCTCGACCTACCTCACCACTGTAGGAGGCCTTGACAAGTCGAATCCCAAAGTAAGAAAACTGCTCAAAGGTAAGCATTGACAATTCAGACACCTACATATCAGTCACCTGACCAAGACAGACACCGACCTTCTCCAAGCCCAGTCTATTCTCTACCGCAGGCTGTCTGCAAATCTCTATGAGACCAAGAGACCGGGCGAGTACTTTCATCTGCATGGCTCCCTCGAGGCAACCAAAGCACTGAACATGGTTGGTCTCGAAGGCTTCCGACCTGACCTGACCGATTATCACGAGTGCATCAAAGTAATTGAAGATCGCGTCCGACAATTTACGGTAGAAGAGCTCGAAGAAAAGAATCGGGCGATCAAACAAGCTGGTGTGACCTGCCTAAAATGGGATGACTTCCGAACTACTGAACACGGTCAAGCACTGATGCGGGAGCCGCCCTGGAAAGTAGACCCTCTGGAAACCGACACGCCACCAACCCCACTACCCTTCCGATCTTCACGTGCACCAAAGCCGCAGATCCTCTCTGGCATCCGTGTTCTTGAGCTTTGCCGAATCATTGCCGGCCCGGCAATGGGCCGTGGTCTTGCCGAATATGGTGCAGAAGTCATTAAAGTCACATCGCCGAACCTGTCCGATGTGCCTTTCTTCCAGGTGGATGCTAACATTGGAAAACATACGACCGACTTGAACTTGAAAGACCCCAAGGATCGACAGACCTTTGAAGAGCTTCTACAGTCTGTAGATATTGTTCTTGATGGCTATCGGCCCGGTAGCTTGAATCGTCTTGGATATGGACCACAAAAAATGGTCGAGTTGGCGAAGAAGCGTGACAAGGGCATAGTCTACATTGCTGAGAACTGCTTTGGCCATGTTGGACCATGGTCATCACGTCCAGGCTGGCAACAGATTGCAGACTGTGTTACTGGCGTAGCCTGGGCACAAGGTCAAGCAATGGGACTGAACGAGCCCGTCGTACCGCCGTTCCCCATGAGCGACTACGGCACAGGCTGCATGGGCACCATCGCTGCCCTGGTTGGGCTCTACAGGCGGGCCAAGTCTGGTGGAAGTTACCTTGGTCTCACTTCTCTATGCCAATACGACATATTCCTGCTTCAGCTAGGCCTTTACGACGATCGCACAATGGCCGAGCTCAAGAAGCAGCATGACAGGGAGTTCTTCGAGCTACGCCACTACGACTCAGTAGATGAGGTTGGCAAGCGTGCTCTCAAGACTATGAGGAGAACACACCCAGAGCTGTTTGAGGACCGACATATGCAGGAGTGCTTTAGCAGAGGTTTCAACGCCAATGTCAGAACTATTCGACCCGTAGTCAACATTGAAGGCTACTGGAACGGTTTCTTGCGTAGCTCGCGACCAAATGGTTTCGACAAACCTACATGGGATGATTGGGAGGTTGACGAAGATCTATTACGAGCGTAACGTATCTTACCTTTGTTTTGTCTCTCAGCGTTGTTTGTAAATCAGCCTTCTATTTCCCTGTAAGCACTACCGTAGTACAAATTTCCTCACACCGCACCACATTCCCACAACATCTCGCCTACTGTGCTACATGGCAGAAATAATGTANGTGGGCCACTAGCAAGGGGACAATACAGGCCAGGGTGAAGAGTAAGCCCTATACTATAAAGAGTACTATCTATACTCTATAGGGTTGTNGTTATTTAGAATATCTCTGTGATAAATGTAGTTTTGTTATCCAAAGAAGTGCCTGATCTTCATTTNAGCGCGCCCCCACACACATAACTTGTGCCATGTAGCACAGTAGGGCTTCGCCGCAAGCTATGTACACACGTACGTTGCCAAGACGGTGTATTACACAAATCATGCGTTAGCCCCACCTCTCACACGCCCCCACCTTCTAGACTTCTACTTCTTGTGTAAGCTGGTGCATCTTCCGACACGGGCGGCTACCACTACAACAACGCAATCTGCATCTACCTTACCTACTACATCCAAACATCCATACATCTATATATCGTCATGGCACGTGCGCACGTGACATCCACATAAACCCCACCTCACACCCCCCAAAATGGTAAAAAAGAAGTCAAAACTCTATAGTATATCCCAAAGCAGTTGATCAACCCTTCATACATACCATCTGTCTACGTACACCAGAACCTTTTTCCAACCAACAACCATGCATTCAGCAACCCCCCCCCTCGCCCTATCCTCACATCATTGCCTCTTTCTCCTTTGCCTACCTAGCAAATTTTAAAAAAAAATCTTTATCCCTTGGTATTCTACCCCCGAAGTCTACCCTACGTTCAACCCTTTCTTTTTTTCCTCGATTCCCACCCCTCCCCCCTCTTAGTCCTACCATCGTCATCATACGTATCTAGCAGATCTCTCTCCCCCTCCAAATCCTTTATCCGATACCGATCCCGCTGCGCTAGCACGCAATGCATGCCCGTTTTGGTTCCTCTTCCCCTTTTTAGTTTTTTTGGGGGGGGAGAGAGAGATCGGATCGCGAGAATATCCGGTTAATTTCTCGGGCCCGAGAGGCGAGGGCGGTTTTGCACGGTGCGGCGCGTAAAAGACGCGGTGGGGATGGGTGGGTATCCGCCGTTGTTTTTGGCCTGTTGTCACATGTTTGTAACATGTAGATATTCCTACTAGTGTACTACTTTGTATGAGGAAAAATTGGTTCTTGCGCGGCTTTTTTTTGGGTTTTCTCAATAAGGAAGGTTACTAGGGTACGATGCAACGGTTAGTGGTTCTCATGGATGGTTTTTTTTCTTATTTTAGAAAGGCTAGATTCAGATGAGGGGCGTGCTAAGTCAAGGGAGTTGATACCGAGAAAAATCGGGGGTTGCGGATGGGTGAAGGGTAAGCGCTGCGCAAGGGGGAGCGGTGTGAGGGTGGCTTGTTTTTTTCTTTTGGGCTGCTTTCGAGGTTCCGATGCGTACTACTGTGCTGGATGACGGCTTCCGATGGTTTTACTTGGCGTTATTGCGGAGGGGCATGGTATGGAGTAGCATGGGGGAAGGTGTAGAGTTTAGATAGGGCTGGGGTGATGGTAAGTAGTACGAGTGTTGGTGTGGTATGTAGTAAGTAGTTTTTGTTCTTTTTGTGGGGGTTCAAAAACGGGCTATTGAGATGTGATGGGCACAAGGGTTAGGGAGCATGTCGCGAGCTTGATTCATGGAGGCGCCATTTTACATGCGTCGCTGTTTTTACGACTTCAGTGCTAGTCGTCAAGGTTCCTTGTAGTGTAGCGCCGAGTATTGAATAGTATTCGCTGACAAGAATTTTCCGGTGAACATATGTAGCATCACTGCATTGCTACTTTTCGTAGTCTAGGCCTTGGACACCAACTCCACTCGTGCGCACGACACCCCGAGGATTCCGGCTACTCCATCTCGACTCATTGGACGTACCCCCACCCTGCTTGGGCAGACAATCTGACAGTATAAAAGAACTGCGTAGCTCTGCACCGTATTTTTCCACATACACTTGCTTGTCTCAGCCCATCATCTCTCACCAATTATAGACGTATCCCTTCATAGCTGACACAGCACTTCTGTAGCACAAATTGTGCGCACATGTTAAGTAGAAGAAAAAGGAGAAGAAAAGATTTGACAGGGGGTGGTCCGTAGAAATTATCGTTACACTGTTTTCAGTGGTCCTGGCGTATGTCGCTAGGACTTGTTGTATAAGCACTGCGGCTCGTTTTGTATCCTACATCTTATTCGTCGATATTTTGCTCGATGGTATAGGGTCTCGATCGCAATGACTATTCTGTACGTCATTTCTTGTTTCAATCTTCGGTCTTGAAATTGTTCAATGTTATCATATCCTTCTCCAAATCAAGTGACTGAAATATTTGCCTGTACAACAAGCGTACCAGAGAACTCAAGGACGAGAATTTCTTCTTAACATATTGTATTTCAATCCACAAAAACAGAGATCTATTCAATTCTTATACCCCAATCATTCCCTCTAACCGTAACACACTATTCTTGTCCTTGACCCCCCTTATGCCGCCTGCCCCTTCTTAAAAATGTCAATTGCCCATTTCCCAAGCTGCTCATTCTCAGCTTGTTGTATCGGATAAAAATGTCCAATATCAACTTCTTTGACAGTACTCTTTCCCTCGGCAACCTCATAGCACTGCTCAATCAACCGTTCGCCGACACCCTTGAACTCATCCTGGTTACCCAAGATATGATATGACGGAATAGCAATCTTACTATCTAGCAGCTCCTTCTTCTCATCCTCGGAAAGTTTGGAAGCGTTCATTGCAGCAGACACGGATTGTGCAATAAACGGCGGTGGGGCGCTGCCGCAAATGGTGATGCCAAAGCCCCAGTCGCACCAGTCCAATTCTTCAACGTCTTCGCCGTTCTTCTTTAGTGCCGCAACGATTTCCGCGCATTTGAGGAGGCCGGTGACGACGCGGGTGCCTTGAGAGAAGCCAATTAGGCCGACGACTTCGCCGCCAGAGTCGCGGATGCGCTTTACAGTGCTGCGAACGAGTTCTTCAACCTCTGAGGGCATGGTGGAAATGTGAGGGCCATCTTTCAGTTCTTTGGCTGTGTCGGGGGCGGAGAGCCAGCGTTTATACGGGCCGCAGCCGTCGAAGAACGGGAGGACGCCTGGACCAGCTTGGGAGGGGAAGGGGGCTAATCAGAGTGAGTCTTTGAGTTTCCTTTGTATTCGGGTCTGGGTGAGAGAATCTTATACAGGCTTATGCGTTTGAAGGAAGTATCGTATTCTGCAGATTTGGGAGTGGGGGTCGGAAGGAACAAACATTGCAGGGAATGACAGTAAGGGGTGGGGGATTTGAAAGCACAAAATGCATACCGCTCAGACTCTCAATCTCAAATTCAGAACCAAGCACTCTTGTCAATCTCGCCAATTGTACGGTGTGTATCATGGAATTGCTGCCTGAGCCATGAAAGGCAAGAATCTTGGGCTTCGGATCCATCTTCTCTGCTCAGCGTCTAGTGGTGTTTTGCTCGTGATGGGCTCAGCACGTCGGTTTCTTTCACTTTCAAATACCCTCTTTACTTGGACTTGATCTCCCTTCTCTTTGTAGTTCAATTGCAATCAGCCCTGCTCTTTTGCGCAAACCTGTTGACTCTGATGTAGTACGAATTCAGCCACCAAGGTTGTAATGCGGGGTTAGAATTACTGATAAACAGCAGCCGTTGGAGATGGAAATTGCGTGATGAGTCTTCGTTCGACAGTCGTCCTTTACGCTAGCCTTTCTGCCTTAAACTCTTGTCTCGACTCTGCTTTCTTTTGAACCCCTGAAGCTATGTCTTCGATGCACACAAGGCAAGAAGAAGAATGTCCCCAACAAACTCCTCGGCACACTCCACCAATACTTGCGGTGTGAGTTATCTTTTGTCTAGCTGCAGACAGCCAGCAAAAAAAGCAAACCCAAGTGCCGGCCCAAACAAGCCTTCGGTAATCGGACCGCAAATCAGATTTCTTGTTGAACCACGTAGTACAGACGCAAAGGTGCAGGCGATCGAGTTGAAGGTATTCTAGGTAGGGGATTATGTCTTCGTGTAACACAAGAAATAAGTATGAGGGATTCTTCCCTTGCGCGTGGGAACTGCACCTCAGCTTGTATGTCGGAGACCGAAAATGCGTGTTATGGTGGGGTAGGTGGGAAGGTGGGTAGGTGGCACATCTACCAGGTTAGTTAATAAGCCAGTTGTGGGCCGCAGAAGGCGAGAAGCGCCTATTTCAACCAAGCGAGCATACTATGGTCAAGTCTGCATCATCTCTGTTTTGATAATACGATACATAATTATGGTATCTATACACTATAATAATAATACGCGCCTTCTAAATGCAGCTCAAGGGAATCGTCATTGTGAACGTGCACATAGCGTGCTAAAAGAAATACGTTACCGGAAAGGAAAAGAACCCCATACCCATATCTACGCCGAAGAGACCAAAAGGAGACCACCACAAAAACCTAGAAACGGGTAGTCCCCGCCCGTACCAGCGTGCTTGAAGACTCACTCGAATTCTTACTCCTCCTTCCGCTCTTCGTACTTCTCCCCGAACTCGCAGAGTCTGCCCTCACTCTGGAATTCTGTTCTTGTTCTTTGATTGACCTCAAGATCTTGATTCCCTCCTCGGTCTTGCCTAGTCGAGAAACTAGAGCAGTGTTCTCGTGCTGTAGTTCGCCAATCTGCCGTTTAAGCAGTCTGTTCTCCTGCTCTAAGATATCCAGTCGTTGTTTGTACTCGTTACGCTCTCGCTGGATCTTGTTGAGTTGGTTCTTAGCCGCTTCTTTCTGTTGGCGCGCAAGCAGTTTACGAGTCTCTTTCTCTCGACGCTCCTCGAGTTTCCGTATCTCTTTCTGATACTTGTGTTCTTGTTTTTTCTTCTCTCTTTCATGCTTCTCGTTTGCCTTTTGTATTTCCTTCTCCGTCTTGGAACTCTCGGTTTGCAAGTTGGTGTCCAGTTTCTCCTGGGCTTGTTCCAGCTTTATTCTCAGTTGGTCCTTTTTTTCTTCGATCTTCTGGAGTTCTTTGGTGTGGTGGTCGTCGGATATCGGTAAGGACTGTTGAGATGCTGTGGACGGCGTTGGAATTGATATATCGATCGGAAGGCCTTCACGTGCAGTAGTAAACTGCTCGGCAGAGGCAAAAGAATCTACTGAGGATGTTCTCGATGAGCTTGCAGAATCACTGCGCTGTAGCTCCAAGTGGCTGCTCGGATACGTGGGATTTTCCGCTATGCTAACTCCAACGCCAGCAGAAATACCATTTGTATCTGCGACGGACATGCTATGCGTAACTTGGTGCAGACTTCCTGTGTCAGCTTTTACTTCTGATTCGTCATTCCTCGTGCAGGCCCAGTCGAGAAACTTGACTGCGTCCTGACATATACTGCTGGGCACATTTCGTTCCACCATGAAACGAGGTATGCCACCCCCAGGATCACTGCGTGTAATCATTATCCATTCGACTGGATTCGTCTCTGCGTCACCGTCTGGTAATGGTATCTCGCGGATCATCTCGACCGACTCGTAAAAACCTCGTACCATGTTACTTCGTGGCGGCGCGTTTGGATGGGAGACAGGTATGGAGACAACCATGAAATGTCGAGGTATCGTGTTGGCGACTTTTGACGCTTCGGTCAGACAACTATCCGAGGTGATGAGGAGGGTAATGAACTCGCGTGGATAGGTCGGTCCTGGAAATTGAGCTGAAAGTTGGTATACTGCGATTTCGTCAGCTCTGCACACTTCTTGGATTATATGCCATACTACATACCTTGTAGCTGTCCTACACCATCTACAGTCATGTCCTCGAGTCTCTGGTCTCCACCAATACCTCGCACATTGCCCTCACCCGGGCCGCCTTGGACCTTCAAACTCTCTTCAAACTCGCTCTGCATGGCACGCTTCCATTTGTTGAAGCCTAGACCTTCGTGTACGCTAGTCCTTGAGAACCAAGCTCCATGCCTATCCTTCCCGGCCATCTTGAAAACGCTCATCCCCGTAGCAGCATCGGCATTCCCCAGCTTGAGAGGCTTGCCCCATGACTTTTGCAGCTCCTCATGTGTCCGAGCTGGCGGAGGTCGCCGTACCTGGGAAATGGTGAGGTCCTTAGCGCTCGTTGCGGGCTGTTGCTCGGTTCGCGTCCGTTGTGATGATTCGTAAGGCGTGCCATTGGGAGGCGGAGGTACAGAGTTTGCAATCAGCTCTGCTTTAGCCAGTATATCGGATAAGAATTCCTCGAGATTATCGGTTGGGACGTCACTAAAATCCTTTGGCCTTAGACAAGCGAGCGCTTCATGCAACTCCGTCATGATGAATATGACTACAACTTGTTGATGGGCGAGGGAAGTCTGGAGATGTTGCAGAGAGGGTGGATGAAGCAAAAAGTCACGGAACGCTCAGGCTTTTGGCAACCGCGCCCTGACAACGGCGAGATTCGCGGGCTGTGGAAGTTCCGATGTAGCCGTGGAGCGAACTGGCTGGGTCCGGTGACAGTCGATGAAGTCACTAGGACACAAGAACAAATGTCGAGTGCTATCCACCTGAGGCTTGCTGAGCGTCCAAAGCATATACTAGTAAATTTGGAGAGTATTTGGTTGAATCCTAAGAACTCCGGTGTACGCGACAAGGTACGGTGCGCTTGTATGTACTACACGTGTTGTTGATTCGACGTCATCCCTGCTACAGTGCGTTGGTTCGCCGTGGGCAAGGCTGTGGGGTCGCCCGCAACTCCGCCGACATCCCCTTCAGCCTCGGAATCAGTCTTGGTCCGAAGCCGCTACCTACGTCACACCACACACTCTTTTGGGGAAACTTGCGAGATGATCTGGCTCGCCCTGTGCACAGTCACACAACGCATACACCGGTCCTGTAGCAATTTGGATGGGATGCACAAACGAAGTTGATGGCTTATACTGTAGCTCGAACCAGAAATCACCAGGTGATAATTAAAAAGGGTATTCGCAGGTCTATCCCGTCTATGGTAATGCAACCGCCAATTCAACCTATAATACACAAACAGCACAATGTCTAGGACAGTTCTATCCCATGAGACTATACAAGCACGTACAGCGCACACATCTGTCTACAGTCAGCAATCTGCCACCGTTCGGCCGAGATGAGTCAGCTTACCATACTAAGTCCTAGGATCATACTGCACCAGAACAAGACATTGTTCAGCAATGTACGACCCTTGACCCATTTGCTTCGCTGCAACATGACGATAGGCATCTGAAGCATCATGGCAACAAAACCGTAGCCTCTGAACTTTCTCGTGATGCAGCCCATGACCAGTTCGTGGGCCAGCGCGGAGATGAAAAAGGTGATTACTATAGCCAATGGCCGCGACATGTGGTTCTTGGACGCACTGTAAACGTGTCGGCGAAGAAACTGGTGCACCGGAATGTTCCACTCGGCACTGTTTGAACAAGTTAGATGATGCTTTGGAAGAAAGATGTAACAATCCGTACCTGAACTCGAGCCAGTCACAGCTGTTCCACCAGTCAGCGTAGAATTGACGATCTGCGAAGCCTGTGCAATGTAAACGCGGGTACATTCTTGTGATTTTGAAAAGACCTACGCGTGATTTCTGCAAATGCACCAAGGACATACTCGAAGATGACTAGGAATACCAAGAGGAAGGTGATCATAAAGGGGAATAACAGACGACCAATCGTCTCGCCCATGATCAATGCAAAATCGGTTGCGCTGTTCGAGTTATGGAGTCGCACGGCCGATACGTCCAGCACTGGAAGTATAAACTCCTCCGCAGTAATAACCATGAGAAAGATGCATCCGAACACGGCCAGTGTCTTGTAGAAGACCTCAAGCCAACGAACATGAGTGTTGCGGGGATACTCGAGCTCATAGCAGAGCGTTGGACAGAAGATGAAATCTACATAGTTGTACAAGGTGAGGTTATTCGGGTATGAAACATTACCCAAAGGCGACGCAAGCTCCAAGGCAAGCTCCTCGCGCAATTGACCAAGGTACTCTGCGTTTGGGTCTTTGGGTTCTGACTCGGTCTGAGACGGTGACTTTGGAATCTCGTGTAGATGAGTACGGGGAGTCGGGTATCGAACTGCTGCCACTTTGCTAGCTTGATCAGGTGTATCGAGATCGTTGAGGCGTCTCAGAGTTTCACTGAGATGACCGTTGTAGAATCTTGAAAGGTCAGTTTGAGCCGTCATTAGTAGTTTCGTGGATAGCCTACGCATAGGAGTGCATTTTCATGAAGATTGCAAGTAGATGTAGGGTGAAGAAGACCTGGGCCGTCCAGCTCCAATCGCGGATGAATGGATATCTTCATAGTTGTTAGTATATGGTAAATCATCAGAAAACAGATGGCTTACGTAGTCCAGAAAGCAAGCCAGATGGCCTGTAGGACGCTCTGTATGGCCATACCATACGTGTTCCAGCGAAGCACTTTGTCTTTGAGGAACAACTTTTGGAGAGGCAGTGACAAAGCCGTACTGCAGACCATGGCACCATCGACCAGGCCAAGCTCAACCACCTTTTCCTTGAACAGTGCCCACTGCCTCATCTGAAATGGATATCCAGTCTCTGTCATGTTTCGGAGCATCGAGGTAATGACCATGATGGCAAGGCCAATCCAGAACAGGACGAAGAAGCCGCGGAAGTCATGGTGGTCGCTGTTGGGGTCAAAGTGCGAGACGCGATTCTGGTAGTGAATGGTAGGAAATATGCGCTGCTTGTGCTGAGCGCGTATCTGTCGGCGTGCAGACGACGAAGCCTGGACGGAAGGCGGGGCATCGGGGGGTATAGGGGTCGATCTTCCACTGCAGACTGTCAGTTATCTGCTGCGCCAAAAAAAAGCAGAGTGGTCATAGGTACCTCGAGAGACCAGAGGCGGCTTCCTTCAGAGTGCCATTTTTATTGAGGCCTTCGTCGCTAAGTTTAGGCCTCAGGAGGTCGATTCTCGTGGGTTTGCGCGGTCGCGGGGAATGAAAGTCGGCGTCCCCATTGTAATTGTGCGTGTCAACAGAGGTAGATTCAGCCATTGTGGATTCAGCCATCATGAGCAAAGAGTATGCGCATGTCGAGGATGTAAGTAATGATGCAAAGGGGGATTGAAACGTGGACAGGCCAGAGTATGATCAGCAACCCACACGGCGACTGGTTCTCGGTCCTTATGTGTAGTGGATAATATTGTAGCCAGGCAAGCCTTCCGAACACCCGCGCAGCATGACAAAAACAGGAATCGAGTAGTATGAGGATAGGATCACCACGTGGAGGAGTCTGCCTGGGGGCTGCTTGCGCGCACCCCTTCTATCGCGGCGACGGTGCTCTAACATTCGTTAGCTGTCAGGGCCGGTTACATCACAGGTCAGACGCGCTTGCCACCATGGGCAGTGCAGCGGGAATCAAGGACTTTTGCCCAGCCAACTAGGGGTATCATCATCCGCCCCGTAGTCCGTAGCACTCCTCATGGCCAAAAAGGCCGTGATTTGATTCGGCATGCGTGGGGAATGGCCTAAGACAGAATGCGATAACTGTGTGTAGGCGTTTGCGTAGCTGGAACACGCTGGGTGCCTGACTCGCGCGACAGGCCTCCGTCGCCCCCAGCCATACTATGTATGGACGTGTTCAATGGCGGAGACGCCCTGGGCTTATCGAAGTGAGATTGGATAGAACGCGCTGGGCTGGTAGCAAATTGAAGCATCTAGCAAAAGCATCAAGGAGAGATGGTAGCAAACGGCAGTGTTCAAATGGTTTGGCTCGTCAGTAGCGGTAGCGGTAGCGCGGGCGTTGTCCTCGTTGTCGGTGGGAGGTGCGTCTGCGTCCGACATCTGGAACAAATAACGGCCCGGCCAGGTGGAAGCCGTCCCCCCAAACGTTGTCGACAACCAAGCCCTCCAAAAGGAATACCTCAAGTTGCCCGTGCCCGATTGATCCTGCCGACTACACAGCAGCCCGCCATCCTTCACTCCCGCCTCTCAATCGAACCCTTGAACGCTGCTTGGGTGGGGTCCAAGAGGCCACTGCAATGGCTTCCTGTACGCCAAGCATCGCACCGCCCGCAGCTATGGACTTGTGCTAAGAATTACCAGTGAAGCAGTTTATTCGCAATGTGCGCGCTGCAAAGACGATTGCTGATGAGCGTGCCGTTGTCCAGAAAGAGAGTGCGGCAATCCGCGCCAGCTTCAGGGAGGAAAGCCACGATTCAAATGTGAGGAGGAACAATGTCGCAAAGCTCCTCTACCTCTTCACACTCGGCGAGAGGACCCATTTTGGCCAGATTGAATGCTTGAAGCTGCTGGCCTCTCCCCGCTTTGCGGACAAGCGACTGGGGTACCTGGGCACTATGTTGCTCCTGGATGAGAACCAGGAGGTCTTGACCCTGGTCACCAACTCGCTCAAGAAGTACCTCCTCCTCCATCGAGTTCGAAGCCATGTTGTGTGTACTAATCGAATTGCAGCGACTTGAATCATGCTAATCAGTACATTGTTGGCCTCGCCCTTTGCACCCTTGGAAACATTGCATCGGTTGAAATGGCTCGAGACCTGTTCCCAGAAGTCGAAACGATAATATCGAGCGCGAACCCGTACATACGTCGCAAGGCCGCAATCTGCGCAATGAGGATATGTCGAAAAGTGCCCGACCTGCAAGAACATTTCTTGGAAAAGGCCAAGTTGCTGCTACAAGACCGCAACCATGGAGTCCTTCTGTGTGGTGTCACTTTGGTAGAGAACCTGTGCCAAGCAGACGAGGATGAGGACGACGAGAATGGCGTGCGGGACCTCTTTAGGCCGGCCGTACCCAGCTTGGTCAAGATATTGAAGGGCCTATCATCTTCCGGATACGCTCCCGAGCACGACGTAACGGGCATCACTGATCCCTTCTTGCAGTGCAAGCTACTACAGCTTTTGCGTGTCCTGGCCCGCGGCGATGCTCAGGTCAGCGAACAAATAAACGATATCCTCGCCCAGGTTGCAACCAACACCGACTCTTCCAAGAACGTTGGTAATTCGATTCTCTACGAAGCTGTCCTTACTATCCTCGACATTGAGGCGGATTCCGGACTTCGTGTGCTTGGTGTAAACATTCTGGGAAAGTTCTTGTCTAACCGGGATAACAACATCAGATATGTCGCTCTCAACACCTTGATTAAGGTGGTCGCAGTCGAACCCAACGCTGTACAGCGACACAGGAACACCATCCTTGACTGTCTCCGAGATCCAGATATCAGTATTCGGAGGAGAGCACTCGATCTCAGCTTTACTTTGATCAATGAGAGCAATGTACGGGTACTCATACGGGAGCTGTTGGCTTTCCTAGAAGTTGCCGATAACGAGTTTAAGCCGGTCATGACCTCACAGATTGGTATCGCTGCGGATCGCTTTGCGCCAAATAAGAGATGGCATGTTGACACGATGCTACGCGTCTTGAAATTGGTCAGTGACTGAAGCCTTGGGTTTTGTTTTTTCTTTGACTAATATGGGATGTAGGCCGGCAACTATGTTAAAGAGCAGATCCTGTCGTCTTTCGTCCGACTAATCGCTACCACACCCGATCTCCAGACATACTCAGTACAGAAGCTTTACTCTGCGCTCAAGGAAGACATCACACAAGAGGGCCTTACCTTG